TGGGGGCCCCACCGGTTCATAGAATTGGAAAGATCAGAAATCAGGCTGACTTCAAGTACAGACTGCTGCAGTTGAGGAATGCCCTTGGGCTTCTTGCAATTGGCTCTGCCTGCCTGTGTGCTGCAACCTGCCCCGTGGCAGTCAACCTAGAGCCCAAGTCTCCAGGCCTCTAGTTAGCAGTTTCAAGGGAAACACTTGCTCTCTGAACACCAACAAATTCAGAGAACATCTGGTCATTCTTAAACTTATTCAGGGTAGGGATCAAGTGATGTGCATATACCCAGGGGCCAGCAGGACCTCTGAAACGTACAAAGGAGGTTATTTTAGGAGTACGAGACAGAAAAACAATAAAAAGAGCAACTGTCTTCTGTCACTTCTAAGGAATCAAGATTATGGTCATGATGACTCATATGGTCAGAGGACAGTCTCTAAACATCAAATCTCTCCTCCTACCATGAACACTCTGGGGATTGAACTCGGGTCATCCCACTTGACTGTAAGTGCCACTTGCTGTCCCTGTACTAGACATACCTTTCAGGCCCTAATTAGACGCATGCGCATAAAACAGGCCACATTAAAAGTCAGTCCTTCAAGCTGGGCAGTGGAGACGCACACCTTTAATCCCACTACTCAGGAGGCAGAGACAAGTGGATCTCTGTGAGTTCAAGGCCAGCCTGGTCTATAGAGCGAGTTCCAGCCTGGTCTATAGAGCGAGTTCCAGGACAGTCTCCAAAGCAATACAGAGAAACCCTATCAAAAAACAAAAACAAAACAAAACAACAACAACAAAAAAAAAGCCAGCCCTTCCAAAAAGCAATTTTGTAAATCAGAGTACAGAGTACAATTCTTTGGGAATTGACACTTTCTGCTCAGGATAAAGTATTTGGGTGGGGACAGCATGCCAAAACTTCCCTTGTCTTAGCCACAGACCTTTCAAATGACCACTCATGGCCATTTAGATATTCCAGAAGATATTCAAGTGTGGGGTTCACTTTACCTTAAAATCATAAAATAAGAAATTGTGCTGGTGTGGGGCTGGGAAAGTGGTTCAGTCAGTGAGATCCATTCAATTGAATTAAAAAATAGTGTGCGTGTGTGTGTGTGTGTGTGTGTGTGTGTGTGTGTGTGTGTGTGTGTACGTGCACATATACTTGAGGAGGTCATAGCATCCCCGAAGCTGGAGTCACAGGCAGTCATGAGCTGCCTGCCATGGGCATTAAGAATGAAAGTCAGGTCCTCTGCAAGAATGACATGACACCACTGATTACAGTCATCTCCGTAGACCTCAAACTAAAAAGATAGGATAGGACTCCACTTGTAATACCATTTAGGGGAGGCAGCGACAGGACGATCCTTGGGGCTGCTGGCCAGCCAAGCTAGCAGAATTAGTCAGTCAGTCATAGGTCCCAGTGAGAGACAATGTCTCAGAAATGAAGTGGACAGTTACTGAAGAATGACACAAAGAGTTGGCTTCCGGTATCTACGTACACACATGTACCCATTCCACACACAAAGAAAGACACTTCCTAGTTCTTATACAAAAGTTCAGTGCTTCCTACCAGAACCATCCTAAACAAACGAACCCAACGGGGAAGTGACATTTCCTAACCTAACAAGACTCCTGAAGAAAACACTGTCACAGCACACAGCCGAGGATTCCTGTTAAATTAAAATTTCTTAAGTAGAAAACTATCTAGGAGCAAAAGTTCATACATACCTACATAATGGTGATCAGGAGTGGGATCATGAATTTCCACGTAGAATAACAAAAGCATTAAAGGAATTTTAGAAACAAAAGAACGGGGAAAAGCATGGGTTTTTGGTAGCAGCATTTTTCTCAGGTGGGCTCTGTTTTGCTAGCAACAAGCAGAGAATCTCGTGGCTCGCTTAAGGGAGGCTTCCTGACTCAGCATAAGCAAAAAAAAAAAAAATCAACAAGGTTGTTTTAAGAGGCTTTGCTAACGATTGAAAGGTGTGGACATACAGCTGGAAGTGGCAGTGACCACATCTCCAAGCCGGCAGCTTTTGCTGGATGTCAGCATAGACTGAGACTATGGCTGGAGTCACGCTTACGCCCGCCATCTTGGAAAACCTGAAGTTTAAACAGCCATGGTTTTAACAGATAAGACACGTGGCCACAAAAACATAAAGATTTACAGTAAAGTCAGACTTGGATGAAGGAAAACCTCTAAAGGTTTACAGTGTGTTTAAAAATATACGTAAGTTTGAGAGAGAAAAAGAAACGGCATATTGGTAAATAGATAGAGAAGCTGGCTGTGGTGGCGCACGCCGGCAGGATTTGCTCCAGAGGCAGAGGCAAGCAGATTTCCAAAGAGAAACCTTGTCTCAGAGAAAAATAAATAAAAGTAAAAGAAATAAAGCAATAATAGATAAATAAATAAGCCACGTAAAGATGGAAAATACACAGAGAGTCTGGATACTGTATGCTATTGTGTTTTTCAGTTTTTTGATTGCTCAGGAAGGAACAACTGCTAAAGTACACTTGATTATAAATGCTGCTGAATTAATCCAACTTCTATCTTTTGAAAATGCCTTGACTTCAAAATTTAAGTATAAGGATATGTTACTTTGGAAAGGAGTTTTTGTTTATGTTTCTACAGAAAATGAAAATCTGAGGATTCCTTCCAGGCTTCTGTGGTTTGATGAACCAAGACCCCCAGAAGCAGCGGGCCAGGTGTTCCAACAACTGAAACAGCTAAGATGATGCAGCTTACAGACACTGAAACTAAGGACTTATACAGGTTTCTGAGTTTTGTCATGATCCCCATGGTATGAACAGCGCCCCCTTCCAGCATGAAGTAGTTTGGAATGAGCGACGTCCTAATTCTCATCTTGTTTATAAATCTTTGTTTTCATTTAAATAGGGTTGTTTATAATTGGCTAATGATCACAGCCAATCTCTTTTTAATGGTAAAAAGGGGAATTATGGTATGGTTATGGTTTTTAATTTATTGATACAAATTTAAGGTCAATTTTGTGATATGTATATTTTTTCCCTTGATTAAATATTGTGCTTATACTGATCTTTTAAAACATAATGCATAATTACATACAGATTATAGATAGTTACTTATAATAATCAGAACTTATAGTTAGGTAAGTTAGGTTTTCTAGATATACAGAAATATATTTGAGATAGATAGGCAGTCTTCAAACCTTTCAAAGACCTTCAGAAAATGGCATTTAAAATGGTTTAGGGTTTTTCTTGACAATGAGAAATGTCTGCTCCTGGCAGCACCAATTACATCTGAGATGGGCATCAAAGAAACTCATTATGGAGTTTGCTTTCGACATGGCAAGATTAGCCATTTGGGCAAGAAACTGCTCTTGTCTGGACTCTTTGACTGTTGCTGTATAAACTGGACATGCAGGACCCACAGGAAAGTGACTACTGAACTCAAACAGTCCTTCAGGGTTCCTGATTCATGGAAGAGTCTACGAGACTTTCTACAGGACACAGAAAAATGACTGACAGACTGCCAATGCAGATGGACAGTTTGAGATTTCTCAGCAAAGCGCTTTGCTGAGAAATCTTCTGGATACACTGTGGCCTATGGGCTGAAGATGAATGCCCCAACGTTATAGAGGAACTTTGGGTGACTGTCCAAGCAGTAAGATGTCTCTGTCAATCCTAGTTATCCTATATTATCCCTCTGTGGTCTTTGATGGAGTTGAAGACAGATAGTTATAATTATAGTTTTCCTTAGTTATGATAAAAGATAAGCTACATATAGAACTTTGGACTCACAATGATGGGATGGATGATATTTTCTTTAAATCTTGCTAAAATATTGTAACTGTGTTCTTGCTTGATAACTGTTCTGTTATATATAAGTTGACTATGTTAAAGTTAAGACAGAAAAGAGGAGATGATGGGGGAAGTCTTGTTATATGTCAATAAAGCACTGTTGGCCAATAGGGAACCAAGATAGGTGGGACTAGGAATCCAGGAGGACTCTGGGAAGGAGAAACACAGGAGAAACACAGAGAGCCAAGATGTAACGCCATGGAGTAGGAAGCCCAGAAACTTCTCCAGTAAGAGAAATACTTAGATTAACAATTATGGGGGAATTACTTAAGTCAGAGCTAGCCAGTAAGAAACAAGCAAGGCCAACAGCTTCATAATTAATATAGCCTCCTGTGTGTTTATTTAGGACTATGTGGCTCTGGAACCAGGCTGGCGGGAAGGCTTCCCTTTACATTTTCTTAAGTAGAAAACTATCTAGGAGCAAAAGTTCGTACATACCTACTATAAGAAATTGCTCATTAAGCTGGGTGTGGTGGAGGATGTTTGAAATCCCAGCACTCAGGATACTGGAGCAGGAAGAAGCTATGTGTTCAAGACCAGGCCAGACTTCACAGGAAATACCAGGCCAGCCTATGTTTCACAGAAAGATTGTCTCAAATGAAAATTTGTTTTTAATTTTACAGTACAACCACCAATCAGAGACATTATAACTATATCCTTCATATAAAATCTTCATGTAAAAGTATAAGACTAAAGTCAAATTCCTAAGGCAACTTCAAGAAGGCAGATGTGCTAACTGTATTTTAAAGCAATGGTTTCATCTATGATGGAGACATTCTTAGGTATTTCTGACCAAGAGTGACACAAATGGGACAGGGGAAGATGGCTGTCAGTAAAATGCCTGCCGCATAAGTAAGTGGACCCGAGATCAACCCCCAACTCACACACAAAACCAACAAGGTGACATGTGACAGAGACAAGAGGAGTCCAGAGCTTGCTGGACAGCCAGGTTAGCCCAATAGGAAGTCACTGAGGAAGACACTCGACGTCAGCCTCTGCCCCCCCACACACACACATGCATGCACGCACGCACAAGCACATATACATAAAGAGTGACATGAGGACCTCAGTGGTACAGTACTTGCCATATACAAGGCTCTGAGTTCAATCACCAACACTGCCCAACTCCATCTCAGAAAAAAGAAAGTCACAAAATCTTCAAAAACAAAACTAAATTTAAGTCAGTTTTATTTAAAACTATGCACATACATGGACCAAATAAGCACGCAGTCAACATTATCTGTAGCTTTGCTAAACATCATAGTCCAAAAAGACTAATACTTATAGCTGATTCAGCTCACAATACGTCCTTTCCGAGCAGCAGAGCTGTCTCTGGAACATTTTACAGGTACCTCTAATGGGTGACGGAGATTCTGGAGCCACAGGCCACAATCCTGTGCCCAAAGAGTTTAGAGTCTAGAGGACAGGAAGCAGAGAGAGCAGGCCAAAGGGGCTAGCCCCAAGTCCACACTTGTAGTTTGATGAAAGCAATTGCTGGCCTAGGTCACCAAACGTCTAAACAAATAAGCCATGGGAATATCTTAGCAACTATATACCACCTGTGGCATATCAATAGGAAAGCTTTTATTTGACTTGTTTGTGTCTAAGGCTGGGGACTGACTGACTTAGGGCTGGAGATAGAACTTGTGGATAGATTCCCAAGCTAAAAAAGAGGGGGAGGGGACATTCATTCATATTGGTGTTCATTAGTGTTTCCACTCAAATTTAATGGGGAAAAACTACCTCCAAAGCACCTGCACCAGGCTGCTCCCTTACGTGGAAGGGTGACCTGTTCATCTCCTAGAACTTCTTCAGTTCTCCATTCTAGCATCAAGCCGAGCAGTTTTTACTGCTGAACCGGTGAACAAACTCAGACAGCGTGTAGACAGATCCCCATCCTACTTCAGGGTCCATGCTGATGAAGTCGTTCAGGTTCATTTTGGAGTCTAGAAAAGAACATGAAAGAAACGTCTGGTTAGCAGCAACAGAAGAACCCAGAAACCACTTAAAGGAGCAAGAGTTCGGGGTCACTTCTGCAATGCTCTTGTCTCCAATACACAGCACTCCCGCGTGCCAAGGCAGGCACCACATCAGCCGACCAGATGCTGCACTGAGCAGGTGGGCAGTGGTCTTCACAAACAGAAAGGAAGAAAGGGGATTGTCACAGACAACTAAATGTCATATCCCCGAGTCAGAATCTATCCAGAAATAAATGAATGAGAAGCCCTGAAACCCTAACGGTGTTATCATTGCTACTTTTCTATAACATAGCAATAGTCTTACATTGCTGTCTTTGCTCTTCTGGTGATTATGCTTTGGTTAACACCAAGCAAGTGAAGAAATGGCTCAGCAGCTAAGAGCACTGGCTGCTTTTGCAGAGCATCCTAATATCCTACATGGTGGCTCAGGACCATGTGTAACTCCAGATCCAGGAGATCGATGCCCTCTCCAGACTGGGCACTGGACACACATGGACTACTGACAGGCGAAACTCCCATACACATTAAAAATTTTAAAATAAATACATCTTTAAAAAAAGAAGACTTGCTGGGCGGTGGTGGCACACGCCTTTAATCCCAGCACTTGGGAGGCAGAGGCAGGCAGATCTCTGTGAGTTCGAGGCTGGGCTGGACCGACAGCCTCGAAAACAATACAGAGAAACCCTGTCTCACAAAAACCAAAAAAAAAAAAAAAAAAAAAAAAAAAAAAAAAGAAGGCTTAGTCAGGTGATGGTGGCTCACGCCTTTAATCCCAGCACTTGGGAGGCAGAGGCAGGTGGATCTCTGAGGTTGAGACCAGCCTGATCTACAGAGTGAGTTCCAGAACAACGAAGGCTACACAGAGAAACCCAATCTTGAAAACAAAAAGACAACACTAAGGAAATCTGAGGGAGGGTTTTATATAAGAACTCTGTCCTATTTAACAAATTTTCTAAAAGTCTAAAATTAAAAGTTATATAAAAGGTGCATGCATAACCAAACTATCTATTTGCAGACTTCAATGGGCAACTCACAGGAAATTCAGAGGGACAAGAGGGGCACAGTCAGCCAACTGCCAAGTTGTCGCACCTATTCCCAATGTCTTGAACTAATAGCTGTCAAGGAAAGAGCTGGGCGAGCAATACGTATACTTAAAAGGACCCTTAAGGAGGTGGGAGAGACGGTTCAGTGGTTAGGAACACTGGCCGCCATTGCTGGGGAGCCAGGTTCAGTTCTCAGCACCCACATGCAGCTCACGACTTTAACTCCCGTTCCAGGGGACACAGCACCCTCTTCTGGCCTCAAGGGCACATACATGCAAGCACATACACGTTATAAAACAAAGGCGATTTTTTAAAAAAGGGCTAGGCATGATGGCACACACCCCTAACCCCAGTACCAGGGAGGAAGAGACAGGCAGATCTCTGTGAGTCTAAGACTGGCCTGATCTACACAGTGAGTTCAGGTCAGCCAGGGATACATAGTAAGATCCTGTCTTGGATGGATGGGTGGGTGGGTGGGTGGGTGGATGGACAGACGGACAGAGGGATGGACAGACGGATGGACAGATGGGTGGGTGGGTGGGTGGGTGGATGGATGGGTGGGTGAGTGGGTGGAGGGACAGACGGACGGAGGGATAGACAGACGGATGGACAGATGGGTGGGTGGGTGGATGGGTGGAAAGATGGATAGGAGGGACTGGAAAGATGGATCAATCAGTGGTTAAGAAAACTTGTCCTTGCAGAGGACCCAGAGTTGAGTCCTAGCACCCAGATGGAGGCTCGCAACTCAGGTTTCAATAGATCCAATGCCCTCAGATGTAAATGCAAGCAAAGCATCTTTTTTTTTTTTTTTTGCTTTTTCAAGACAGGGTTTCTCTGTGGCTTTGGAGGCTGTCCTGGAACTAGCTCTTGCTTCCCAAGTGCTGGGATTAAAGGCGCGCACCACCACCGCCTGGTCCAAGCAAAACATCTATACATGTAAAATAATTAAATCTAAAAATAAAATTTAAAAAATAAAAGGGGAAGGGAAAACAAGGTAATTATATTTAAATTTCAAAAAATATAAATTTTAAGATAAATAAAATTTAAAAAATTAAATAATAAATACTTTTTAAATGTTTTTATTTATTCTTTGGGAGTTTCATATAATGCATTTTGGCCATATTCTTTCTCTTCTTCCAACTCCTCCCAGATCCTCCCCAACAAAACAATATTCTCAAGAGACATTACCAGTGCAGGGCCATTTGTGTGTGTGCACAGGGACGTGCGCACCACAAGTTAGTTCCCACATGTGGAAACCACAGGTCAGCAGCAGCTGTTTTCCTTGGCTGGCCTCCACCTTATTCTTTAAGAGAACATTTCTCACTGAGTCTGGACTTTACTGGCCCAGCTAAGTTAGCCAGCTCAGGGACCCACCCCTCCAGTGCCCGGATTGAAGACACACATCATGCTGCCTTCTGTGTGGGTCCTGCAGATCCAAGCTCGGGTCCTCAGGCTTGCTTGGCAGGCAGTATACAGGCAGCCATCTCCCAGCTCACGTTATAAACTATATAAACTACGGTTACATGCGCAGAAGCTCACCGGAGCCTGGCACAAAGTGGGTAATGACCGATACCTAATGACCTGCCACCAAAGCAAAAGGACTGACCCTAAACGGACCAGGTCCTGATAAGGTCACATGTGCCAAGTACTGAAAGAATCTCCACCTACAAGAGAAATGGTCCCTGCTGAAGGCACTCTGTGTCCAGGCTAGCCCCTAACCCAGGAAGCCCTGGCCTAACAGTTTTCGTAGTTCTACTGGGAAAGCTGGAGAGCGGACGGGACACAGGGAAGCAATCACACGGTTTGGGGTTGTTTTGGTTTTTTCTTTCATTAGAAGCCCCTCACTGAGGCTCAAAAGTCAGGCAGAACCCTCCTTAAGTGCTCGCCCCTTCAAATATGCAACTCTTTTTGCTTTCTTCCTCAAAGAGCTAGCGATGGCCCTGTTTCTGCAGGGAACGTTCCCGTGGCCTGCGTTAACAACATGATGGGATGACCTCACCCATAACTGGAATGCTGTGAATGACTTACAATCACAGATAATGTTTCAAAAGCACATGAACGCCGAGCAACAGTAAGAGGTGAATGACCCGCTCGCTCTTAACTCTCACGGCATTCTCAACTGGAGCGCTGAGAGCTCTCAACGCAGCTTTTATTACAAGGTGACTAAAATGGCATTTCACACGCCAGAAGGATGCCCTGGCGATGTCTTTCACCAGCACATGAAACCCGTCATGGTAATGTGCTACTGACAGTACTGTTAAGAGACACACACACCAGAACCCCAGCAGATGTGTCCAATAATAGACCGGTTCACTACGGTCAAGGCTACAGTCATGGCTACAGTCATGGCTACGGTCATGGCTACGGTCATGGCTACGGTCATGGCTACGGTCATGGCTACGGTCAAGGCTACGGTCAAGGCTACGGTCATGGCTACGGTCAAGGCTACGGTCAAGGCTACGGTCAAGACTACGGTCATGGCTACGGTCAAGGCTACGGTCATGACTCTGTCCCCATACTTATTCTCCCTGAGTGCTTTTGCCTTGCGGTCCTGCTCTCTGACCCTCGATCCCTGAATCTAGGAAACAGAGCGAGTGCTTGCGCTTATCCTCACCACCTGGGGACAAGGGGACCGCAGATCTGAGCAGGCACCAGGCAGAGGCCCGGAAAGGACGGCCTTGGCTCACCGCCAGTTTCAATGCAGGGGTAGGCTGGAGGAGGCTCTCTCCAGTTCCCACTGGAGTCTTTCATGTGTGAGCGGTCAGAAGCAAAGTTCTTCAAGTAGGAATCGGCACGGACCACTCTGAATTTCCTGCAGAAACCAACACACACTTACGTCAGGGAGGTAGTGTGACTGCTGCTCCAACTCATTCCTACAATGGACTGTTTCTAGGGTATGCACAAAACTACTTAAGAATTTCTGCACTGTTACTAACACACACATGTACATGGCTGATTACCTACTACACAAGCTGAAGGAAATGACTGACACCCAAAGTTTTGAAAGTAAGGAGAGGGGCTGCAGGGATGGCTCAGAGGTTAAGAGCACTGGCTGCTCTTCCAGAGGTCCTGAGTTCAATTCCCAGCAACCACATTGTGGCTCACAGCCATCTATAGTGAGATCTGGCGCCCTCTTCAGGCCTGCAGGCATACAGGCAGGCAGAACACTGTATACATAATCAATAAATCTTAAAAGAAAGATTCAAAAGAAAGAAAGTATAGGAGAACAGAACAGAACAGAACAGGACTTTTTTATTGTTGCCTTGTAATTTTCTTGAGTTTGAGAAGACTAGCCATGCTCTAACCACACTCCAGCAATCAAAGCAGAAATCCTTAACACATCTGAAAGAAAATGTTGGGAATCTCATCACACTTTCATTTTTTTACACACTTATTTGAGAGAGACAGAGACAGAGAGACAGAGGGGGGGCGGGGACAGACAGGGATGGGTAGGAGTTCTTCGTAACCACCGAGTCTTAACTTCAGAAAATCAGTAACTTAGTACTGAGTTTCCTCACCTCCTAAACTGTGGATGAATGTCATCGTCAGACTTCAGGGCATCCTCTACGTAAATGTCGAAAGGGCAGGGAAATGGCAAAATAGAATCCAGGTCATAAATGAAGCTCTGTCCTTCACTCGGCACATGAAGCAGAACCACGTGATAGTCCTAGGGATGACAGTCACCAAGGTTAACCAGGTGATAGTCCTAGGGGTAACAGTCACCGACGTTAACCCCGTGATAGTCCTAGGGGTGACAGTCACCGAGGGTAACCCTGTGATAGTCCTAGGGGTGACAGTCACCGAGGTTAACCGGGTGGGGTAGGACAGTCAATTCCAACACGGCACAAGCATCAGCAGTAAAGCGCTATTTCGCTAATACCACCCTCCTGGTATCAGCAACACAAAGTAAAATAAAACACCAACCCCCAATCAGAAAAATGCCCAGTGACTGGACAATGGCAAACAATGGCAGTGTGTGCCCTGCGGTTGTGTGATATCCCGTGTTCTTCAGGCGAACTGACTGCAGGACATAGATGGATTTAGTTATATATTTTAAAGTTTGATAACGGAAAGACACACATGCATTCAGACATGTACGCATTCATACATGTGAATCTACAAAGATACCTTCATCTACACTTTGTATCTTCATGTCCCACAAAAGTCCATTGTTAATTCCTTCTTATCAGCGTGCTCTAGGGAGGTAGTGAAGGCTTCGAGAGGTGAGGCCAGACAAACATGGAGACATTGTAATCCCAGCACTTAAGAGGCAGAGGCAGGTGGGTCTCTGTGAGCCCGAGGCCAGCCTGATGTACTTAGAGAGTTCCAGCCAGGCCAACCAAAACTACATATTGAGACCTTAAAAAACCCAAAACCATGAAGCCTAGTGAGAAGTCTTCTGGTCACTGGGGGCTCAGCCTCGAAGGGGACACTGGGAGCCCAGGCCCTTCCTCTCTTTCTCTCCTTGAGACAAACAGCTCTGCCCACTGTGAGCTCCTGCCTAACCCCAGGCACAAACACACAGAGCCAAGCTATCATGGACTGAAACCAGACACTGGGCACAAAATACCTCTCCTCCACGGTGACTCGTTGGTGTACTCGTTACAGTGATAGGAAGCAACTAACCCCCAAACTGCCAACAGAGGGGTCTTCCTGAGGTAGTGAAAGCGACTAGCCCCCAAACTGCCAACAGAGGGGTCTTCCTGAGGTAGTGAAAGCGACTAGCCCCCAAACTGCCAACAGAGGGGTCTTCCTAAGGTAGTGAAAGTGACTAGCCCCCAAACTGTCAACAGTGGGGTCCTCATGAGGGTTGTGAAAATAATTGCCCCCCCTAATTGCCAATAGCGGGGTCTTCCTAAGGCTAGTCTGGAGATGTTAACTGCCAATTTCTATTGCTTTTCTAATTAAAAAAATAAACAAATAAATAAATAGGGATGAGCAAGCCCTCTCTCTCTCATCTGCAGCCACTGAAGGAAGGGGAAGAATACAGACAGCTCCCACATCCCTCTCGGTTACAGAATGGGTGCTGTTTTACCTGTCTGCTGCCCTCACTCCCAGACAAAGCACTGCCAGCCCCAGCTGATGGCTGGGAGGACCACAGGACCCTCAAGGGACACGAATGCAGGCTGGTGTTTCAAACCCAGGAAAAAAGGCTCTCAGGGGAAAAGACATCCAAACGACTGCTCAGTCTAAAATCACGCCACTAGCATCCAACATTCTTTTTTTTTTTTTTAAGTATACGGTGTTCTGCCTACATGCCAGAGGAGGGCACCAGATCTCCTTACAGATGGTTGTGAACCACCATGTGGTTGTTGGGAATTGAACTCAGGACCTCTGCATCCAACATTCTTACAGCACTTCACAGTTTACACGGCATGCTAGAGCTTTGACCTATGAGCTGGGAGACAGGCAGTCGACACTAGAAACACCTTGCCCTGAACGCTCCCTTCAGCGCTGACTCCAGTCAAGGAAAGCAGAAGTGGGATCTCTCACGTGCGTGCACACCCCGCCTCCGGAAGAGCTAAGAGCTGCTGCCCGTTAGCCTACTTGACCTTTCCTTTTGACCTTTACGTCCCCTCCACCCCGAAAACCCTGGTTTTCAATTGCCACCCACATTTACCCAGGAACTAGTTAAGACTACTAAATCTTGGGACTAGACAGATGGCTCGGGAGGGAAAAGGCACTGGCTGCTCTTCCAGAGGTCTTAAGTTCAATTCCCAGCAACCACATGGTGGCTCACAGCCATCTGTAATGAGATCTGGTGCCCTCTTCTGGCCTGCAGGCATGCATGCAGGCAGAACATTGTATACACAATAAATAAATAAATCTTTAAAAACAAAACCTAAATCTTGAGCCAAGGAGGACTCGGCAGGAAAAGGAACTAGCCACAAAAGTCTAACAACTCAAGTTCTATTCCTGGAACCCATGTGAAAAATCTACAGATGTGGATGTGGTGTTGAACATCTGTAATCCAGAACTCCTACAGGCCTAGAAGCTGGCTCACAGGCCAGCTAGCCCAGAGTTTGCTATAGTACAGCAGCAGAAGCAAGAGATTCTGCCTCAACAAAGATGGTCACCTCTGCACACGTGCACACATACTTGCAATAACAAACAATAAGTTAAGCATTAAAAAAGAGAACACTTAATCTCTCTCTCTCTCTCTCTCTCTCTCTCACACACACACACACACACACACATACACACACACACATCCTCCGAGACAGGTAGTCTCTGTGTAGTTCTGGCTGTTCTGGAACTTGCTTTGTAGATCAGGCTGGCCTCAAACTCACTGAGATACAACAGCCTCTGCTCCCAAGTGCTGGGATTAAAGGCGTGCACAACCATCACCTGGTGAGAACACGAAATCTTGAACCCTTCTCCAGATAAAGAAACATGGTACTTATACTTTTAACCAGTCTCCAGATTAATCAAGCGTGCATCCAGGCTACATGTAAAAAGTTCCTAGTGCAGAATGGGGACAAGACTGGGCAAGCACAAACTTTTCTCCTACACAGGGTATTTGTAAACATTACTGTGAGCCAGCTATGGTGGCCCACACCTTTAATCCCAGCACTCGGGAGGTAGAACAGGAGAAATGGGAGGTTCAGGCCTGTCAAGACCGCACAGAAAGAGCCTGCCTCAGATTCCTGTGTGATTGACTCCCCAGCTGTATAACCTGACAGAAACACTAACGTGAGGAAATGTTTATTCTGGCTCACGGTTTCCGACACTGTAACTAGTCTTTCCCTGTCCCGCCAGCCAGCTCCCAAGTAATGACACAGAGACTTCTCACTAATTATGAAAGTCAGCCTACAGCTTAGGCTTGTTCCCAACTAGCTCTTGTAACTTAAATCAACCCATTTACATTAATCTATGGCCTATCGTGTGGCATTACCTCTACTCCATCTTGTGCCTCCTGTCTCCTGGATTCCTCCATCTCTTCCTTTCTTTCCCTGGAAATCCTGCCTGTACCTCCTGCCTAGCTGCTGGCTGTTCAACTTCTTATTATATCAATCTCACTGGGTACAAATATCCCACAACAAGTCTACCAGTCCTACAGTCTACCAACTACAGTCTACCAACTACAGTCTACCAACTACACTCTACCAATCCTACAGTCTACCAACTACAGTCTACCAACTACACTCTACCAATCCTACAGTCTACCAACTACAGTCTACCAGTCCTACAGTCTACCAACTACAGTCTACCAATCCTACAGTCTACCAACTACAATCTACCAGTCCTACAGTCTACCAGTCCTACAGTCTACCAATCCTACAGTCTACCAACTACAATCTACCAATCCTACAGTCTACCAACTACAATCTACCAATCCTACAGTCTACCAACTACAGTCTACCAATCCTACAGTCTACCAACTACAGTCTACCAATCCTACAGTCTACCAACTACAGTCTACCAGTCCTACAGTCTACCAACCACAGTCTACCAGTCCTAAGGGAAGGCATGACGGGAGTGACTGTTCATTGCAGGAATATTTGATGGAGTGACTGACTGTTCATGTGCAGGAATATTTGATGGAGTGACTGACTGTTCATGTGCAGGAATATTTGATGGAGTGACTGACTGTTCATGTACAGGAATATTTGATGGAGTGACTGTTCATGTACAGGAATATTTGATGGAGTGACTGTTCATGTACAGGAATATTTGATGGAGTGACTGACTGTTCATGTACAGGAATATTTGATGGAGTGACTGACTGTTCATGTACAGGAATATTTGATGGAGTGACTGTTCATGTGCAGGAATATTTGATGGAGTGACTGACTGTTCATGTGCAGGAATATTTGATGGAGTAACTGTTCATGTGCAGGAATATTTGATGGAGTGACTGACTGTTCATGTGCAGGAATATTTGATGGAGTGACTGACTGTTCATGTACAGGAATATTTGATGGAGTGACTGTTCATGTACAGGAATATTTGATGGAGTGACTGTTCATGTACAGGAATATTTGATGGACTGACTGTTCATGTGCAGGAATATTTGATGGAGTGACTGTTCATTGCAGGAATATTTGATGGAGAGACTGACTGTTCATGTGCAGGAATATTTGATGGGGTGACTGTTCATGTGCAGGAATATTTGATGGAGTGACTGACTGTTCATGTACAGGAATATTTGATGGAGTGACTGTTCATGTATAGGAGTATTTGATGGAGTGACTGTTCATGTGCAGGAGTATTTGATGGACTGACTGACTGTTCATGTACAGGAATATTTGATGGGGTGACTGTTCATGTGCAGGAATATTTGATGGAGTGACTGTTCATGTGCAGGAATATTTGATGGAGTGACTGTTCATGTGCAGGAATATTTGATGGAGTGACTGACTGTTCATGTACAGGAATATTTGATGGAGTGACTGACTGTTCGTGTACAGGAATATTTGATGGGGTGACTGTTCATGTGCAGGAATATTTGATGGAGTAACTGTTCATGTGCAGGAATATTTGATGGAGTGACTGACTGTTCATGTGCAGGAATATTTGATGGAGTGACTGACTGTTCATGTGCAGGAATATTTCATGGAGTGACTGTTCATGTACAGGAATATTTGATGGAGTGACTGACTGTTCATGTGCAGGAATATTTGATGGAGTAACTGTTCATGTGCAGGAATATTTGATGGAGTGACTGACTGTTCATGTGCAGGAATATTTGATGGAGTGACTGACTCTTCATGTGCAGGAATATTTGATGGAGTGACTGTTCATGTACAGGAATATTTGATGGAGTGACTGTTCATGTACAGGAATATTTGATGGACTGACTGTTCATGTGCAGGAATATTTGATGGAGTGACTGTTCATTGCAGGAATATTTGATGGAGAGACTGACTGTTCATGTACAGGAATATTTGATGGGGTGACTGTTCATGTGCAGGAATATTTGATGGAGTGACTGACTGTTCATGTACAGGAATATTTGATGGAGTGACTGTTCATGTACAGGAGTATTTGATGGAGTGACTGTTCATGTGCAGGAGTATTTGATGGACTGACTGACTGTTCATGTACAGGAATATTTGATGGGGTGACTGTTCATGTGCAGGAATATTTGATGGAGTGACTGTTCATGTGCAGGAATATTTGATGGAGTGACTGTTCATGTGCAGGAATATTTGATGGAGTGACTGACTGTTCATGTACAGGAATATTTGATGGAGTGACTGACTGTTCATGTACAGGAATATTTGATGGAGTAACTGTTCATGTGCAGGAATATTTGATGGAGTGACTGTTCATGTGCAGGAATATTTGATGGAGTGACTGACTGTTCATGTACAGGAATATTTGATGGAGTGACTGACTGTTCATGTACAGGAATATTTGATGGGGTGACTGTTCATGTGCAGGAATATTTGATGGAGTAACTGTTCATGTGCAGGAATATTTGATGGAGTGACTGTTCATGTGCAGGAATATTTGATGGAGTGACTGACTGTTCATGTGCAGGAATATTTCATGGAGTGACTGACTGTTCATGTACAGGAATATTTGATGGAGTGACTGTTCATGTGCAGGAATATTTGATGGAGTAACTGTTCATGTGCAGGAATATTTGATGGAGTGACTGTTCATGTGCAGGAATATTTGATGAAGTGTCTGACTGTTCATGTGCAGGAGTATCTGATGGAGTGACTGACTGTTCATGTGCAGGAATATTTGATGGAGTGACTGACTCTTCATGTGCAGGAATATTTGATGGAGTGACTGTTCATGTACAGGAATATTTGATGAAGTGACTGTTCATGTACAGGAATATTTGATGGACTGACTGTTCATGTGCAGGAATATTTGATGGAGTGACTGTTCATTGCAGGAATATTTGATGGACTGACTGTTCATGTGCAGGAATATTTGATGGACTGACTGTTCATGTGCAGGAATATTTGATGGAGTGACTGTTCATTGCAGGAATATTTGATGGAGAGACTGACTGTTCATGTACAGGAATATTTGATGGGGTGACTGTTCATGTGCAGGAATATTTGATGGAGTGACTGACTGTTCATGTACAGGAATATTTGATGGAGTGACTGTTCATGTACAGGAGTATTTGATGGAGTGACTGTTCATGTGCAGGAGTATTTGATGGACTGACTGACTGTTCATGTACAGGAATATTTGATGGGGTGACTGTTCATGTGCAGGAATATTTGATGGAGTGACTGTTCATGTGCAGGAATATTTGATGGAGTGACTGTTCATGTGCAGGAATATTTGATGGAGTGACTGACTGTTCATGTACAGGAATATTTGATGGAGTGACTGACTGTTCATGTACAGGAATATTTGATGGAGTAACTGTTCATGTGCAGGAATATTTGATGGAGTGACTGTTCATGTGCAGGAATATTTGATGGAGTGACTGACTGTTCATGTACAGGAATATTTGATGGAGTGACTGACTGTTCATGTACAGGAATATTTGATGGGGTGACTGTTCATGTGCAGGAATATTTGATGGAGTAACTGTTCATGTGCAGGAATATTTGATGGAGTGACTGTTCATGTGCAGGAATATTTGATGGAGTGACTGACTGTTCATGTGCAGGAATATTTCATGGAGTGACTGACTGTTCATGTACAGGAATATTTGATGGAGTGACTGTTCATGTGCAGGAATATTTGATGGAGTAACTGTTCATGTGCAGGAATATTTGATGGAGTGACTGTTCATGTGCAGGAATATTTGATGAAGTGTCTGACTGTTCATGTGCAGGAGTATCTGATGGAGTGACTGACTGTTCATGTGCAGGAATATTTGATGGAGTGACTGACTCTTCATGTGCAGGAATATTTGATGGAGTGACTAACTGTTCATGTGCAGGAGTATCTGATGGAGTGACTGACTGTTCATAGTAGCAGGAATATTTGGAGCCGGTTGTTCCTCACATGACAACAGACTGGGAGAACACAGGCCATAACCAGAAGTAGGTACAACCTTCAAGGCCCATTCCCAGTGACACACTTGTACTAGCCAGATCTTGGGTCTCAAAGGCTCCACAACCTCACAGAACAGCACCACCAGCTAGGGACCAGGAATTCAAACACAGAAGCCTGTAGGGGACTTTTCATACAGAAACCACTACAGATCCCAAACCAAAAGTTAGGAAACTGTATACCCATAGTGCTTCTACCAGACAGAATAACATCCGTTCTCAAAAGATCCTGTTACTAATAATTGTTATGGTCTTTCTCTAGTGTCCTTTCAACTCTGCTTTACCACAGCACACTGGTTACTCACCCAGATCACAGGTCCATTCCCAGGTCTTGCCTGCTGCTTCCAAATAGGTACCTACAGCACAGAAGACATCCATGAGTCTCATTCAAACCTTTCTAGATTCTCTATACCACCAATACACCGGTAAGTCATAAACTATTCCCTAGTTTATGGGACAGCAGTTTATAGCACTGACTGCTTTTGCAGAAGACTTAGGATTGGTTCCAGCATCCACATGGCAGCTAATAGGCATCTGTAACTCCAGGTCCAGGGAATCCAAGCCCTTCTTCTGGCCTCTGAAGGCACAGTGTACACAAAGTACACAGACATAAATGTAGGCAAAACACCTGTACACATTTTAAAAAATTAGCCAGGAGCTGGAGAGATGGCTCAGCGGTTAAGAGTACTGACTGCTCTTCCAGAGGTCCTGAGTTCAATTCCTGGCAACCACATGGTGGCTCACAACCACCTTGAATGAGATCTGGTGCCTTCTGCTGGCATGCAGGCAGAAGACTTGTATACACAATAAATAAATAAAACATTTTTTAAAAAATTAGCCAGGCATGATTGCACACACCTTTAATCCCAACGCTCAAAAGCAGAGGTGGGTGGTCTCTATGAGTTTGAAGCCAGCCAGCGATGCATACTAAGACCCTATTTCGGGATGAATAGATTAACTAACTAAGTTAAATTCTAAAGTCAAAAATGTTTCTGTTTCAGCCGGGCGTTGGTGGCGCACGCCTTTAATCCCAGCACTCGGGAGGCAAAAGCAGGCGGATCTCTGTGAGTTCAAGGCCAGCCTGGTCTACAAAGTGAGTTCCAGGACAGCCTCCAAAGCCACAGAGAAACCCTGTCTCGAAAAACCAAAAAAAAAAAAAAGTTTCTGTTTCTAAGCAATTAACATCAAGGTGAAAGAATAAAATCGAATTCCTAAGCACAAGCACCCTGTACAGTGAGAGTTCACAAGAACTGAAGATACTGCACAGTTCTCCAGAGAGCAGAGGGGCCGGGCAGGGTCGGTCCTGTCTCTCTGTTACTCATGAGCCCTCTCTGCATCTTCCTCACGGATTAGGTGGAGAAAGTTAGCAGCTCATGGAGGTACGTGCCTGAAATCCCAGCCTTGGCTATATAATGACCTTGAAGCTAGTGGGCTTAGATACATGAGACCTGTCTCCAAAACAAAAAGTAAAGTCAATAAAGTAAAACAGGAAGTTGTCTAGACCCTGCTATTTCATAGAACATCTATTAGCCCCAAATGAGACAGCATCTGCAAAAGTACTTTATAAATCACAAAGGGCTAATTCTAATGCTCCTTGAAAGTTTACTCCAGCTCTATTCAAACTTCAGAGACAAATCTTTACTTCAAATCTGAGTTACATGGCTTAATTATACAATTAAAAAAGCTCCAAGCCAGACATGGAACATGCCTATAATCCCAGAGGGTACTCGGAGGGTCACCACAAGTTTGTGTCTAGCATGGTCTACACAGTGAGTTCCAGGTCAGCCAAGGTCTACACTATGAGACTCTGTTGCAAGAAGAAAGTTGTTTATGTAATCTACATAAGCACGCCATCACACACTTCATCACCTACAGGTAAGGGACTAAAGTCCCCTAAATCAAAACTAACGAAGAGAAAGAAAGCTGTTTGAAAGGCTGCTGTTACATTTTAGACTAGTATAGTATCCACACTGCGCTTAGCTTCTGATGTCACCGTCATCACTTACCAACTTACCATCTTCTTCTCATTTGATATGAAGACAGCAGAACACTCTTCCAAGGGATACTGGTCATGAGTTTTGATGTATTCACAGAGTTTCCAAATGTTTTCCTCACTAAAACAAAATAATTGTTTAATCAATATAACTGGAAAGGGCCTTAACCACCTCATCTGGTAGCTGGGTAACAGTGACTCTCCTCCAAGGCACAGTCAAGCTGCTAGCAAACCTGTACTATGCGCACATCCAGACGGTGGACCACACCCACCACTGAAGAAGCACTATTCAACACATCAGTCAGTCTGTTAGGACCAATTGCTAGCCATCAGCATCTCACTACCTGAATGAAATTAAACTAAAAGTATTACAGGGTAACACGTTTTATTTTTTTAGTATACAGGGGGGGGGGAGTACTTATGCATGCCACAGTGCAGGTGTGGAAGTCAAAGGACAACTTTTCGGGAGTCAAGTTCTCGCCTTCCGCCTTGTAGGTCCCAGGGATTGAACTTGTTGGCTTTAGCTCCTACACACACACCCTTTTAAGAAAGGTTCAGGGATGGCAAGCTATCTTGGGAGCTAAAGGCCAAGCCTGGAGACCTGTGTTTACCCCTGGGAACCCATGTGATAGAAGGAGAAAACTCAGTTCACTCTCTATTCCTGAGACCACTCATGAACTATTCACACATGAACCTCCTGAAATAAATCCTGGAGCGTGTCCCCTAATACTGGCTGCTGTCCCACTAGTTTTGCCCGGAAGTCACGTGGATGAAAAGGGGAGAGACATGTGGGGGATCTGCTCACAAAGAGGACACAGTTCCCCGCCCCTCATTACAATGGCCCCAGATTCCGCTCGGGTGTGCTGTGAACACAGAAGCCATTCTCCAGGCCCCCTACGCTGAACACACCCAATGAAATTTGTATCTAGACACGTGTTCGTCTTGTCTACAGGAATTTTGAACTTAGCCATAAGCATCTTCAAGAGCCCAGGAGACTCTGATTACAGTTAAGTGCTTAGATAATGAATTAGAGAGGTAGAGGATCCCAGATCCAAAGTGCCAAGTATCCCAGAAGGCCATAGATAGATGCATAGAGAAAGCACAGAGAGGAGGCCAGTAACTGAGACACAGACAGCAGACACAGTCAGTGTTAACACACACACAGCAGACACAGTCAGTGTTAACACACACACAGCAGACACAGTCAGTGTTAACACACACACAGCAGACACAGTCACTGTTAACACACACACACAGCAGAGGAGCAGTCAGTGTTAACACACACACAGCAGACACAGTCAGTGTTAACACACACACAGCAGACACAGTCAGTGTTAACACACACACAACAGACACAGTCAGTGTTAACACACACACAGCAGACGCAGTCAGTGTTAACACACACACACAGCAGAGGAGCAGTCAGTGTTAACACACACACAACAGACACAGTCAGTGTTAACACACACACAGCAGACGCAGTCAGTGTTAACACACACACAGCAGACACAGTCAGTGTTAACACACACACACAGCAGAGGAGCAGTCAGTGTTAACACACACACTGCAGACGCAGTCAGTGTTAACACACACACAAAAGACACAGTCAGTGTTAACACACACACAACAGACACAGTCAGTGTTAACACACACACAGCAGACGCAGTCAGTGTTAACACACACAGCAGACTCAGTCAGTGTTAACACACACACAGCAGACTCAGTCAGTGTTAACACACACACACAGCAATGGAGCAGTCAGTGTTAAAACACACACAGCAGACCCAGTCAGTGTTAACACACACACACACAGCAGACACAGTCAGTGTTAACACACACACAGCAGAGGAGCAGTCAGTGTTAACACACACACACAGCAGACACAGTCAGTGTTAAACACACACAGCAGACACAGTCAGTGTTAACACACACACAGCAGAGAAGCAGTCAGTGTTAACACACACACAGCAGACACAGTCAGTGTTAACACACACACAGCAGACACAGTCAGTGTTAACACACACACAGCAGAGGAGCAGTCAGTGTTAACACACACACAGCAGACACAGTCAGTGTTAACACACACACAGCAGACACAGTCAGTGTTAACACACACACACAGCAGAGGAGCAGTCAGTGTTAACACACACAGTAGAGGAGCAGTCAGTGTTAACACACACACAGCAGAGGAGCAGTAAGTGTGAACACACACAGCAGTGTAGCAGTCAGTGTTAACACACACACAGCAGACTCAGTCAGTGTTAACACACACACAGCAGATGAGCAGTCAGTGTTAACACACACAGCAGACTCAGTCAGTGTTACACACACACAGCAGACATAGTCAGTGTTAACACACACACAGCAGACTCAGTCAGTGTTAACACACACACACAGCAGAGGAGCAGTCAGTGTTAAAACACACACAGCAGACTCAGTCAGGTTTAACACACACACACAGCAGACTCAGTCAGTGTTAACACACACACACAGCAGAGGAGCAGTCACTGTTAACACACACACAGCAGACTCAGTCAGTGTTAACACACACACAGCAGACACAGTCAGTGTTAACACACACACAGCAGACTCAGTCAGTGTTAACACACACACAGCATACACAGTCAGTGTTAACACACACACACACACAGCAGAGGAGCAGTCATTGTTAACACACACACAGCAGAGGAGCAGTCAGTGTTAACACACACACACCGCAGAGGAGCAGTCAGTGTTAACACACACAGCAGACACAGTCAGTGTTAACACACACACAGCAGACACAGTCAGTGTTAACACACACACAGCAGACACAGTCAGTGTTAACACACACACAGCAGAGGAGCAGTCAGTGTTAACACACACACACAGCAGAGGAGCAGTCAGTGTTAACACACACAGCAGACTCAGTCAGTGTTAACACACACACAACAGACACAGTCAGTGTTAACACACACACAGCAGACATAGTCAGTGTTAACACACAAACAGCAGACTCAGTCAGTGTTAACACACACACACAGCAGAGGAGCAGTCAGTGTTAAAACACACACAGCAGACTCAGTCAGGTTTAACACACACACACAGCAGACTCAGTCAGTGTTAACACACACACACAGCAGAGGAGCAGTCAGTGTTAACACACACACACAGCAGACACAGTCAGTGTTAACACACACACAGCAGACACAGTCAATGTTAACACACACACAGCAGAGGAGCAGTCAGTGTTAACACACACACACAGCAGAGGAGCAGTCACTGTTAACACACACACAGCAGACTCAGTCAGTGTTAACACACACAGCAGACACAGTCAGTGTTAACACACACACAGCAGGCACAGTCAGTGTTAACACACACACAGCAGAGGAGCAGTCAGTGTTAAACACACACAGCAGACACAGTCAGTGTTAACACACACACAGCAGAGGAGCAGTCAGTGTTAACACACACACAGCAGACACAGTCAGTGCTAACACACGCACACAGCAGACTCAGTCAGTGTTAACACACACACACAGCAGACACAGTCAGTGTTAACACACACACCGCAGACACAGTCAGTGTTAACACACACACAGCAGACACAGTCAGTGTTAACACACACACAGCAGACTCAGTCAGTGTTAACACACACACAGCAGACACAGTCAGTGTTAACACACACACCGCAGACACAGTCAGTGTTAACACACACACAGCAGACACAGTCAGTGTTAACACACACACAGCAGACTCAGTCAGTGTTAACACACACACAGCATAGGAGCAGTCAGTGTTAAAACACACACAGCAGACTCAGTCAGTTTTAACACACACACAGCAGACACAGTCAGTGTTAACACACACACACACAGCAGAGGAGCAGTCAGTGTTAACACACAGACACAGTCAGTGTTAACACACACACAGGAGAGGAGCAGTCAGTGTTAACACACACACATCAGACTCAGTCAGTCTTAACACACACACAGCAGAGGAGCAGTGTGTTAACACACACACAGCAGACACAGTCAGTGTTAACACACACACAGCAGACACAGTCAGTGTTAACACACACACAGCATAGGAGCAGTCAGTGTTAACACACACACAGCACACACAGTCAATGTTAACACACACACAGAGCAGAGGAGCAGTCAGTGTTAACACACACACAGCAGACTCAGTCAGTGTTAACACACACACAGCAGAGGAGCAGTCAGTGTTAACACACACACAGCAGACTCAGTCAGTGTTAACACACACACAGCAGACACAGTCAGTGTTAACACACACAGCAGAGGAGCAGTCAGTGTTAACACACACACAGCAGAGGAGCAGTCAGTGTTAACACACACAGCAGAGGAGCAGTCAGTGTTAACACACACAGCAGACAGTCAGTGTAAACACACACACAGCAGAGGAGCAGTCAGTGTTAACACACGCACAGCAGACACAGTCAGTGTTAACACACACACACAGCAGAGGAGCAGTCAGTGTTAACACACACACAGCAGACTCAGTCAGTGTTAACACACACACACAGCAGACACAGTCAGTGTTAACACACACACAGCAGACACAGTCAGGTTTAACACACACACACAGCAGACACAGTCAGTGTTAACACACACACCGCAGACACAGTCAGTGTTAACACACACACAGCAGACACAGTCAGTGTTAACACACACACAGCAGAGGAGCAGTCAGTGTTAACACACACACAGCAGAGGAGCGGTCAGTGTTAACACACACGCACAGCAGACTCAGTCAGTGTTAACACACACACACAGCAGAGGAGCAGTCAGTGTTAAAACACACACAGCAGACTCAGTCAGTTTTAACACACACACACACAGCAGACACAGTCAGTGTTAACACACACACAGCATACACAGTCAGTGTTAACACACACACACAGCAGAGGAGCAGTCAGTGTTAACACACACACACAGCAGACACAGTCAGTGTTAACACACACACAGCAGACACAGTCAGTGTTAACACACACACAGCAGAGGAGCAGTCAGTGTTAACACACACACACAGCAGAGGAGCAGTCAGTGTTAACACACACACACCGCAGAGGAGCAGTCAGTGTTAACACACACACAGCAAAGGAGCAGTCAGTGTTAACAGACACACAGCAAAGGAGCAGTCAGTGTTAACAGACACACAGCAGAGGAGCAGTCAGTGTTAACAGACACACAGCAGAGGAGCAGTCAGTGTTAACACACACACAGCAGACTCAGTCAGTGTTAACACACACACACAGCAGAGGAGCAGTCAGTGCTAACACACGCACACAGCAGAGGAGCAGTCAGTGTTAACACACACACAGCCGACTCAGTCAGTGTTAACACACACACACAGCAGAGGAGCAGTCAGTGCTAACACACGCACACAGCAGAGGAGCAGTCAGTGTTAACACACATGCACAGCAGACACAGTCAGTGTGAACACACACACACAGCAGAGGAGCAGTCAGTGTTTACACACACACAGCAGAGGAGCAGTCAGGGTTAACACACACACACAGCAGAGGAGCAGTCAGTGTTAACAGTGTTCACACGCACTCACAGCAGAGGCTCAGATCATTGTTAACTGAGATACAGCAGAGGCTCAGATCTGGACTTTTTCCTTTGTGCCCTGCCCCCATCTGCATCCTACAGGTGGGTCTGGAGTTAATACGGGGTTCACGAGTCCACAAGCACCATTAGTAGATACAATACATGACATGGCTTGAATACACATTGCCCATTAGTTTTCAAATATGTGTGAGTAATCACAAAACTAAGAGTTCCTTTCTTTTTCTTTTCTTTTTTTATGGTCTCACCACATAGCTCTGACTGGCTTGGAACTCACTACGTAGACCAGGCTGGCCTCAAACTCATGAATACCCTCCTGTCTCTGCCTCTTCTTGGGTGCTAGGACTTAAAACCATATGCCATCCATTATTTTTCAACAATACAGCTAATGCTAAGTTGAGCAGTAACATGAAATCTCTGTTGTTTGACATCTGAAACAAGGTCTGCCATGGAACTTACTAGGAAACCTAGACCAAACTCAAACTTGAGGTTACCTCCTGACCTCTGCCTGTGGGTGCTAATATAGACCCAACTCATGAAACTTTTTTTAAAGTAGAGATTAATTTTATGTGTAGAAGTGTTTGCCTGCATGGTTGTCTGTACAGTGCCTGAGGAGGTCAGAAGAGGGCATCAGATCTCCTGCAACTGCTGTTATAGACAGTTGAGAGCCACCAAACAGTGCTGGGAATCACCTTCTAGAGGAACAGTCAGTGTTCCTAACACTTTAGCTATCTCTCTCCCCACCTTTCCACACAACTTTTCACGTCAAAGGGGGTTGGAGTGAGGTTCTTACATTTGGGAATGCTGGGAGCAGCAGCAGGGATAGAAAGGATTCTGTACTTGTTACAGATTCTGGCACCTATTTAAATGGAAAAACTCTATCTGTAGGATTTCCCTTGATCTTATCCAAAGCAACAAAAGGACCCAGATTGCTGCAGGGGATACCCAGGAGCTGAATTCAGAAAAGCAGAGCAATCCTACCACAAATGGGGTGTGAAGTGCTGGGGGGTATCTCAATGGCATGCTAGACAAACTCAAGACCCTGGATGGTTCAAAACTTAGCACTGGGGTGGGAAGGGGAAGGAAAAGGGGGGGCCTGAAAAACCACACAGTCCCACACAAATCTGAGCTTCCATTCTCATCGTTATCTGGAAAGATAAGGAACACCTACCAGAACACAGCAGAAGAGGCATCTGTCTCAACTGAAAAGAACCTGGAGCAACAAGTGCAGTCAGGTGTGCCTATTGACATGCGGAGCACAGCAGAAGAACAAGCAAGTCTAGAGAAACGTTTAGTCGGCACAACTTGAGGGGTGCAGGGAGCTGGTAGCAGCATCTATCTGATACAGGCCGGGAAACATAACTACGCACCCTAAAACTCATGGAACAAAGGCTTGATACTCAAAATGCCAACAGAGTCAAGGCTGAGAACCCTGCAATAGGCCAGAGAAAGTAGGTTCAAAACGAGGTTGGAAAAACACAGGCCTTGAACAAATAAACCAGACAGCCACTGGTACTCAGATGGACTTTGTTATCTACCTCTAAGAGTATCCCACAAAACAGAATCAGCAAGCCTGGCATGGTGGCACAGGCCGTAATCCCAGCCCACAGGAGGTGTGGGCGGCATATCTCTGTGAGTTGGAGGCCAGCAAGTTTACATAGCAAGTTTTAGGACAGACAGTGAGATCCTGTCTTTGGGGGAAGGGGGACGGTGTTGGAAGTTTAGAGAGATTCAGTGGTTAAAAGCACTGGATACTCTACCCAAAGACCCAGCCCTATATCCCGTCTCTGGGGACCCTTACTACCCTCCTCGGATACCAGTCACACACGTAAGTACATGGACAGATGTGCAGGCAAAGCACCACACATATTATAAATGAATAAATAAATGGAAGTAGAGATGAGCAGACTTCTCCTCCACTCTACCACCTGTACGACCAAATTCTCTGGGGTAGAACCCTAAGATGGACAGGTTTCTCAAGCTCGCAGATGATCCCTCAACACATCCAACTTTAGAATAGTTTTGAGCAGTATGAAACCAGCAGAGGGTAAAGATCTGTGGATGCCAAGAGTGTTACTTTTCCAATTGCTATGGCGACATCTTTCTGTTTGTTTTCTGAGACAGGGTTTCTCTGTGTAGCCCTGGCTGTGCCGGAACTAGCTCTGTAGACCAAGCTGGCCTGGAACTCAGAGATCCACATGCCTCCACCTCCAAGGGCTGGGATCAAGGCCTGTGCACCACTGCCCGGCTAGCAACATCATCTTAGGGAAGAAGGGTCCATTCTAGCTCCGTTTGGCAGTGGAGAAAGCATGAAACAGCCATTCCCACTGCGTCCGAAGTCGGAGAAGCATAAATATAGGTGCTCAGCTCTGTTTCTTATTTTTATTCTTTATTCAGGTTGGGACATCAGTCCAAGGAATGTGGCTGCCCACATTTGGGTGGATCTTCCGGTCGAGAAACTCCCTCATGGCTATGCCCACAGGTTTGTCTCTCGAGGGATTCTAGACATAGTCAAATTAAAACAGTATTAAGCATCACAGAGAAGCAGGCAAACTGACCTATTAGGAAGCAACTGGATTAGTCCCATGAGGCAGAGGAAGACTCTGCTGAAGCTGAAGGAGCCAAAGGGAGATAGATCACCTACTGACAGGATGTTACCTCTTGTCACACCAGACTGCTGCATGCCTTCTCACCGTTTGCTCCTAGAGATGCCACAGGCATCCTTCTCAGGGCAGAAGCCTGAAGTGACCTTCTAAAATCTACAAAGCTCCTCTCCTCTCTCCTCAGACCTCAGAATCACCTTATCAACAATGTCTTCCTTAAATATCCTAATATGAGGCAGTATTAGCCACCATCTTATCTCTCTTATTTTCCTTACAGCCCTTACCACCAGCCAATCTTAGTTTCCTTGCTGCTAGGCCGCCCCTCTCCCCCCCATTGAAATATATGAATCACAAGATCTTGCCAGGAAAATTATCCATTTTGGTCACTGCTATTTCCTCGGTGCAGACAATCACCCAATGTATGTTTCATATCCCTAAGAATTAGTTACTGAATAAATGAACAGAGTAGATGTTTCAGATAAATCTAGCCGGCTGGGGTGGAGAGATGTCTCAGAGGTTAAGAGCACTGGCTGCTCTTCCAGAGATCCTGAGTTCAATTCCCAGCAACCACATGGTGGCTCACAGCCATCTATAATGAGATCTGGTGTCCTCTTCTGGCTTGCAGACAGACATGGAGGCAGGATGTTGTATTCATAATAAGTAAATAAATCTTTTTTTAAAAAATCTAGCCGGACTTGGGAACGAGGTAAACACCATGCAACAGCTCTTAGAACTCCAACAGTCACACAGACTCCAGATTTCATTCCTCCACTTAGTCGTGTGGTATGGGACAAACCCCGGTCATTCTATGGTTCAGTCGTTGTCCTGGTGCTAATGATCATAGAAACTGTCTCCAAGGCATTGCTCTTCCCGCAGTTCTCAAGCTGTGGGTCACGACCCCATTACGATTTGTAACAACAGCAAAATTACAGTTACGAAGTTGCAACGAAATAGTTGTATGGTTGAGGGTCACCACAGCATGAAGTACTGCAGCGTTAGGAAGGCTGCAAGCTCTTGGACTTGGGCTACCGAGGCGACAGATTAATAGGCGTTAAGACCATCACCATCGCGCCAGGACAGTGGTGCCTTTAAAATTAGAAAGGACCTGCACTTCGATCTGAAACCACACGGACCTCTGCAGTCACCCCAGGGTCTCCAGCCTGACTCCCCCTTCCTTGTCCCCGGGCACTAGGATGCCTCAACTCCACCCCACTGGCCGGGCTCAGCTCAGGAGACCAGGGGTGCAGGCCTGCAGCGCTCCGGAGAGGGCCGGGAGGAGGAAGCCTTTGGCGGCGGCGCGCGACACCGCGGACCCCGGGCGCCGCGCCCGCGCTCTCTCACCAGTAGCAGCTGCTGTAGACACACGCGTCGCGCGTAGGGCAGGCCGGCTGGTACTGCGGGACCGTGGCGGCGGGGCCGTCCCCCTCCATGGCCCGAGGGGACAGGCACACGACCCGCTGGCAGCAGTTGGAGCCGCTCGCCCCGGCGGAGCGCACGCCAGCCCGGACTGCCAAGCTCTGTTTCCGGGGGTGGAAGAGCTGGGTGGGCGGGACCCAGCGCAGCGTGAGGGCGGAGCCCGGGATGTGGAAGACTGCGTGGTTCCGGGTGGGCGGGGTCTCGGGAGTGGGTGGAGCCCGGGCTGGGGGCGGAGTCGGGGCTGGAGGAGCGGGTGCTGGGGGGCGAGCTGAGCTGGGTGTTTCTTGCCGAGGTTTACCGAGTGGGATCCACCGGGAGGCTCCCCCTAACCCGGCCAAGCTGGGGTTCTCGCGCTGCGCTGCTCTGCGTGGACCTGGTCGGCGTCAGGTGGTGTCGAGGTGTTGGGTGCGAGCTTCCTGACACCCCTTCGTCCCCCGCTGAGGCTGCCAGCTGTGTGGAACCAGCCGCCGCTCTAAAATAAGACCTGCTTGGGCGTGAAAGCTGAAGTTTCACAGCAGGGACCTAGAAAGAGGGAAAAAAAACTAACCGAGGGGTTGCACCCGAATCTCACCGTATTGTTGTTTAATTTCTTTCAGTCTTGGGTATTTATATATGTATCTGTATGGATAGAAAGATAGACTGATCCAGTTTTAGCCAGGTGTGGTAATGGGGTAATCCCTGCATGCAGGAGACTGAGGTGGGAGGGTTGCTTTGGACACAAAGCCAGCCTGAACTACATAAGAATTTTTCTCAAAAGAAAAAAAAAAAAGGATTAAAGAGTCCGGATAGCATTCTATATTAATCGTATTTATTTGCAGAAGGAAAGACACCAAAATTGTCAAAAGTGTTTATTCATAGTGATTGAAGGACATATAGAATTGTCTCTCTCTCTCTCTCTGCATTGTTTTGGAGGCTGTCCTGGAAACTAGCTCTTGTAGACCAGGCTGGCCTTGAACTCACAGAGATTCGCCTGCCTCTGCCTCCCGAGTGCTGGGATTAAAGGCATGTGCCACCAACACCTGGCAAGAGAACTGTTTCTTTAGACTTCCAAGTTTCCTGTGTTTGTAATGAACATATGAATTGCTCAGGGAACTTCCCTACCCCCCAGAAAACAAAACAAAAATTTAAAAAAACCCTGTAATTTTTTTAAATATACATTTCATTTTTTATTTTTTATCTCAATTATTTGTTTCTACATATTGATACATAGGAATTGTACATGATATGGAGGTAATGTGATCATTTGATGCTTGAATAAATTAGTAATGATTAAAACCTGTAATTCTTAAGATTGGTTTATAGGCCACCCACAGACTCTCAATTTCAGTTCCAAAACCCATAAAGCGCTGTGCTGGTGGTATATTGGTGAGTGTAACTGCCTTCCAAAACCCTTAAGTCCTAAAAAAAAAAAAAAAAGCTAAACACGTGTTTGTGTCTGTTAGCAATTTATTGCTTCAGCTTGAATATTGGCTTCAAAAGAGGCTCTGTGGGGGAAAAAAAGTCATTAAACTGTTCTTGTTTAGTATAAAGTGAGCGAGAAGTTCAGCTTTCTCAGTAGAAGGCTGAAGAGTTATTGTAAGGATAAGAGGCTCCCTGCAGCTAGTTTCTAGGAAGGTGCCATAACTAGTTGTATGATTATCTTAACTATGTCACCTCTGGACATACGCCCAGAATTTCAGAATTTGGTCCTTCTGTGACCTGCAAGGTTTAACCTTCAACTCTCTGACTCTCTGGACACAGTTGTGGGTGGCCAACAGGGTTCCACCATGCCAGATACAATGGCTTTACCATCCCTAGCAGTAGTGGCGCACGCCTGTAATCCCAGCATTAGGGCAGCAGAGACAGGCAGATCTCTGTGAGTTCGAGGCCAGCCTGGTCTACAGAGTGAGTTCCAGGACAGCCTCCAAAACAATACAGAGAAACCCTGAATCAACCAAAAAACAAACAAACAAAACCAAAAGCCAAAACAAAACAAAATGACAAAAAAAAAAACCAATGGTTTTATCAGTTTTCCCAATACAAATAGTTGCGGGCACATAATCCTGTAAATCACAGTTATTTTAAGTATAGTCCTCCGACAGAGTCTTCAAGAGTTAACTGTTTGCCTCCCTGATGACTCTGTTTCCAAGGAAAGACTCTCGGGTCCTTAAGAGAGACTCTGAATTGGCAAAGATACATGATACATATTGACAGTTATAAGATCTCTTTAGTAAATGTTCTCACGGAGGGGGGAGTCAGGGCCTATCATTAAGTGTTGGCAAATAGTACAATTTCCTAGCAGTGTTTACCTTTCCCAAGCAGAGGTTTTAGTAAGGGTGAAAGAATGGAGGGGAAATCATCCTACTGACATAGCTGTTAGAAACCACATTAATGTTTTGTTAAGTCCCCTAAAGCAGGGGTTTCTCTCTGGTATCATGTGACTGAGTACCTGAAACAAAACAAACAAACAAACAAAACTGCATCACTTGCAAGTTATGATCGTGTCATCATTCTCATATCTCTCTGGGCAAATGCTAAGCATTATGACTGGGCATAAATTCCCCCCTCCATTTTTTTTAACATTGGTAACAGGAACAGAACTTCCCTCCTCTGAAAGAACAGTAAGTGTTCACAACTACTGAGCTATTTTTCCAGCGCCAGACTAATTTTTTTTTCTTTTTTAGCTTCTGTGCATTGGTGTTTTGCCTGCAGGAGGGTGTAGGGTACCCTAGAACTGGATTACAGACAGTTGTGAGCTGCCATGTGCGTGCTGGGAATTGAACCCGAGTCCTCTGGAAGAACAACCAGTGCTCTTCACCACTGAGCCATTCCTCCTCATAAATCCTTTTTAATTAAAATGCAGATGGCTGGAGATGTCGCTCGGTTGGTAGAATGCTTGCCTACCATGAAAGAAACGCTTGATTTAACCCGCAGCACAGAAAATGGGCGTGGCGGTACAGTGGAAAGTAGTCGTATTATAGACAGGTGTCAGGGTCCAACAAATGCCCACTAGGATCCCAGTCTCTTCTGTCTCACAACAAAGAATTGGCTATGGACGTCTGGACCCTGGGGGTCAGTGGCACACGCCTTTAGTCCCAGCACTTGGGAGGCAGAGGCAGGTGGATCTCTGTGAGTTCCAGGCCAACTTAATCTACAGAGGGAGTTCCTGGTCAGCCAGGTTTATGCAAAGAAACCCTGTGTTTAAAAAGAAAACAAAAAAGCAAAAAAAAAAAAAAAAAAAAAGAAAGAATGTATCTCTAATCAAAATGGGCCAGAGCTGGAAAGGTTAGAAACTCAATGATACATTTTCCTATCAAATTGAAACATCTAGACATCACTTATTTTGCAAGACTTTTTTTGTGTGTGTGTGACAAATGGCCTTTGTATCAATTAAGAATGGCATTTACCTGCTACCTGGACAGCCATCCTGGGCTACTCCAAGGTGATCTTGATGACTTGTTTTGGGGCAGAGGACTCAGTCTCACACCACCACTCAGAGAAGCACCGTTAAGTCTTTATAGGATTTCTGGGGGAATAGAACTACTCTTTCGAGGCAGAGTACAGCAGTCAACCAGTGTCCACACTTGGGACAAGGCCCTGGTGGTGTGTGCAACAGGACAGTTTTGCCAGCTGGTCTGAGTGACTACACTTGAAGCAGGGCCAGGTGGAGTCCCTTGCTGCCCATCTTCTTTGGGGATAGCCTCAGCGGCTGCTACCAGAAGTTGATATCGCTGTCAATCAAATGCCAAGTTCTGCAGATCTCTTTGAGGACTGCCCTCTAATCTCTTAAGTATGTCTGATTTTTTTTTTTTTTCGAGACAGGGTTTCTCTGTGGCTTTGGAGGCTGTCCTGGAACTAGCTCTTGTAGACCAGACTGGCCTCGAACTCACAGAGATCCGCCTGCCTCTGCCTCCCAAGTGCTGGGATTAAAGGCGTACGCCACCAACGCCTGGCCGTGTCTGATTTTTTTAAAAAATTGATTTTAGTTACTTGTTTTAGGTTTAACCTTGACATATGCAGCAGGCTAAAGTTCGTCTCTGTTAATGAATTGCATTTGTCCTTAGCACGAATACATACAAAGTCCTAAGCACATTAAATAATTTGGTCAGTTATAAGGTGGCTGACCATTAGCTTGCATGTCTTAGTTATCTTTAACAGTTCACAACAAGTTAGGCTTTTGTAAGATTACGATTTAACAGTCTCATCCCTGGTGTGTATTGCCAATAGCTATTGTCAGCTCTTTGAACTCTCTTTAGGGACGATTAGGTTTTTATTTCCGGTAGTCAATTTATTTTTCGTTCGCTCATCAACAAAAACCTCTTCCGTCTCAAAGGCAGAGGCAGAGAGAGTGCTTGCAGCGGTTTAGGGATTTTTTTTTTTTTTTTTTTTTTTTTTTTTTGCGTTTGAAGCCCAGATGGCGGGAAGCAGCCGGCAGGTGGCCAAAGGGGCCTCCGGGTCCACTCGCGCGCCAAAATTCCAAACGAGACGCTGCACCGCTCGCTCCGTCTCCCTCCACTGGAGGCGGCGAGCCGGAACTATAGGAGGAAGAAAGAACTCGCAAGTTCCTGCTAGGCCCTCCCTCCTCCACCCTGCTTGCTGGAGTCCCGGTTCCAGCGCGCACAGGCTCCCGCGCTCGCCAGAGAGGAGGGAGGAGAGCCCCGGGTTCGTCCGCCCGGGCTAGCGGCGGCGGGGGGCGTGGCCGGCGGCGGGGGCGTGGCCGGCGGCGGGGAGGCGTGGCCGGCGGCGGAGGGATTCGGCGCGCGCACGCTGAGGCCGCTGGGCGCGCAGTTTGTGGCGCCAGAATTCGGAGCGCGGCAGCGCCTGAGAGAGAGAGGAGAGAGAGAGGAGCGAGAGAGAGAGAGAGACAGAGAGAGAGACAGAGAGAGAGAGACAGAGAGAGAGAGACAGAGAGAGAGAGAGAGACAGCAGCCTGCGAGCCGCGGCCCGCTGCTCTCCCTCACAACGGGTTCCGGCTCCTGCAGCGCGACACCATGGTGGTTCTCCGCAGCAGCCTGGAGCTGCACAGTCGCTCCACCGCCTCGTCGGCCGCCGACTCTCTGGACCTGTCGGGCGACTTCCTCAGCCTCAAGGACCACGGCCGGAGCCGGCCCGGCTCGACCCGAGCCGCCGAGAAATCCACCGCGTCCACGGCGGCGGAGGGAGTGAGTACCGGCCCGGCCCGGCCCGGGGCGGGGAGCCCTTGGGCCCTACCTGGGTGGAGCCGCGCTCGGGGGGCCGGGAGGCGGGGAGGAGGACGGGCGAGCCGAGGGGACCCGCGCGCCGCGCGGGGGCTGGCGGGGTGGCCGGAGGTTCCGGAGAGGCGGACCGGGCTGCGAGCGGGCCGAGCGGCTGCCGCCACCTCCTCCTCCTGCGCCGGGGGAGAGCTGGAGGCGCGGCGTAGCCCCGGGGGCCCGGGGTGGTGCGGGCCGCTCCCCTCCCTCCCTCCCCCGCCCCTCCCCGGGTCCGCGGTCCGGCGAGGTCCCGTCGGGGCCGGAGGGCTCAGGCCGCGTGGTGCGGAGGCGCGAACGACAGCCTGTCGCCCCACCGCCGCGAGCCCTAGCGGGTCTGTGGTGATGACAGACGAGGGCATGGGCCCCCGGGGAGGCGCACGCACGGGAAAGTGGTGGAAAGTTCTGAAAAGGCGCCTCGGGGAGGTCCCTCCCGAGGCCCGTCCGCGCCGCCGCTGCAGCATCAGCAGGAGGGCTTTGCAGCGGGTGGGGACCTCGCGGGGACGCTTCCTGCCTGGCTCAAGGGCCAGCGCCAGGGTTTTTTTTTTTTTAATGGGGGGCGGAAAGAGTCCCGAGGGAAAGCATCACCCCACTTTGGCAGAGGTGGAGGGCCGACCCTGGGGGAGGGAGGTAGGGGTGCTGGGGTGGCGAGTGACGCAGCGGCGTCCACGGGGTTCAGAAGACCTTAGTCAGGTATTGGGGTCGCTCTAGAAAGTGAGTCTGTGTCTCCGTGGGGACTCGGGAGAGACGATCGTCTTTTCTGAGCTCTGAAATTGGTGCTCATAAATTGGAACTCCTGACTTCACGATTTGTTTCTCGGGTGCAGGCATGGGCAGAGATCAGGGTAGGGTAAACATTTCTTAGTCAAAATTACAAACTGGTCCTCTTTTTTTTTTTTTTTTTTATTCTGCACTCTGGTCTAGGAATTGCAACCTTCAAGGATGTCTATAATCTCCCAACTTTTCTTACTTGTATTTCTCCCTAAGTCAAATGAAACTATAGCGGCTTAGTTTTTAGTTTTTCTGTTAGCACTGTATTCTAGAGCAGAACTTGACAGATAGTAGATGAAGTTTGTTGTCATTACCTTTATTTATTTGTTTAATTAATTTATTATTTTTGATGTGGGGTTTCACTTCCCAGCACTGGCTGCCCTGGAACTCAACTCTCTAGACCAGGCTGGCCTTGAACTCACACAGAGTTGGCCTCTGCCTCCCGAGTGCTGAGTCCAAAGGCATGCGCCATCACTGCCCCAGCTTGGTTGTCAGTAATGACAGAGAAGTTAGCTAGGCGTGATGTGTACATGCCGTACATACCATATGGAAGTTGAACCCCTGAAGCACATACAATCTTGTTGGATTGTCTCTGGGCCAGACTTTACAGCACATAGTTTATCTTTTTTGGATTTTTTTTTGGGACAGGGTTTCTCTGTGTAGCTCTGGCTGTCTTAGCGCTCACGATGTCGACCAGGCTGGCCTTGACCTCAGATCTGCCTGGGGAGTGCTGGGACTGAAGGTGTTCACTTGACCACATTTTATCTTTTTGAAGTAAAGTATTCCTCCCTTCTATAAATGAAGGCATTTTTGTAGAGCTTCTAATTGGTCACGAAGTGTTAAATTGGATTTAAAGAAATGAGTAGTCTTAAAGGATAACAGATTCCTATTACAAAACATCATCAATACCAAGAATAAAATACCTTGATATTTGAAAAGCTTTTTAATGTGGAGGTTTTATATTCAGTCCCTTCCTTTAAATCAAATGTATGCTTCAAAGGATTAACTCCGTATTACCCTGGTATTTGAAAATGTCCTAATTCCCATTCTCATTTATCAATAGATAGCAGAGATGGCACTTTGAGTGGTTAAGTGTATTCATTCTAATTCATTGGTTTGATTTTGTCTTGTTTAATATTGGAGACTGACCTTTACATTCTGAAGGTACTGAGACCCCTAACTACATTGTACTTTTCTTTTCTTGAGGCAGTTCTGTAGCTTTGACTGTCAGCAGGTTAGTTGTCATCTGCCTGGACTGTAGATTCTTTAAATGTGGCATCGGTTACTTAAGTTACTAATATGTAGAGTTTGTTACATTTTATAGACGAATGTGGATACAATGTGCAATGTTGCTGTTTTGAACCTGCTATCAGTTTGCATATCTAGAGTCCCCATCTCCTTCATGCCAAATTTCCAGATTTCTTTAGGTGCTTGAGGGGCAGCTTCTTGAAGCCCATTCCATGGTTGTGCCTGTGAAGCTGATGGTATATTCTCAGGTCACCACCTTGTCCTTGACAGCAGAACTTCTTAGCAGTACTGCTCTGCCCAGTCCAAGCTCTTTTTGACAGTTTGGATGTTATCTCTGTTAAGATTTATGTTTTGTTTTTTCTTAGCTTGTATGATTTCACCGAATAGTATGATACTGTTTAACTGGCTTTTTTTTTTTTTTTCGAGACAGGGTTTCTCTGTATTGTCTTGGAAGCTGTCCTGGAACTTCTTTGTAGACCAGGCTGGCCTCGAACTCACAGAGATCCACCTGCGTCTGCCTCCCGAATGCTGGGATTAACTGGCTTTTTTTAAACCCCTATTTTCATATGAGTTCATGTAACCTTATGAGTTGTTGAATGCATTTTCTGTGGTTTCTTTTTCCTATTAGAGTCAGAATAGCCATTATCTATTTCTGTACTTTGACAAGTCTGTAACTCTTTGATTTCTGTACATTTGTTTTAGTTCAAATTCATCCTCTGCTCCATAGCAAGACCAGCCTGGGCTACTTGCAACTTTTCTTTTTGTAGTAAATAGTAAAAAACGTATAGTTTAATGAAGTGCTAAAAGCGAGAGTAGGGAGATTTTGCTGTGGATTGATGAGTAGGACTTTGTGAAGTTGCATAGCACAGGTCTTCATGGAGTATGAGCCAGAAAGGGCTCTTAATTTTAGGTTAAGAATTTGTGATACTAGGAAGCTCTAAAGAGCTAGACTAGGGAGTTGATGAGATAAATTAGATTATATAGTCAGCAAATCCAGAGTTTGGATGACCAGTTAAAGGCTATAGTACTAGTAATTTGCATGTGTATCTGTGTGTCACGTGTATGCCTGTTTGTTGAGAGAAGAGAGTATCAGGAGTTGTGAACCGCCATGTGGGTGTTGGGAATCAATCCGGGTCCTCAGAGAGAGTGGACAGTTGCTCTTAATTGTTGAACCGTCCCTCTAAATTTTCATTCTTTTTAAAGGCATGATAATATTCTGTCGCATTTTTAACAACCTAAAATGTTGCGTGATTGGGGGGAAGCTGGTAAGTCAGTTTTTTTGTTTTTTGAGACTGGGTTTCTCTGTATTGCTTTGGAGACTGTCCTGGAACTCACTCTGTAGACCAGGCTGGTCTCAAACTCAGAGATCTGCCTGCCTCTGCCTCCCGAGTGCTGGGATTAAAGGTGTGTGTCACCACCGCAGGCTGTCGGTTTTTAACTTTTACCATGTGGGCACTGAGGATTGAATTCATCAGGTTTCATGGCAAGTGCCTTTCTGAGTCATCTTGACAGTCCTGCACTGCATTTATCTATTCTCCTGCAAATGGATGGTTGGGTGGATCCCATTTCTAGGCTGTTGTAAACATGGATGTGTAGTATCTGAGTCCCTGCTTTCATTTCCTTGAATGTATTCCCAAAAGTGGTACTTTTTTGTTTTGTTTTGTTTTTCGAGACAGGGTTTCTCTATGTGTAGTAACCCTGGCAGTCCTGTAACTCACTCTGTAGACCAGGCTGGCCTTGAACTCAGAAAAATTCGCCTGCCTCTGCCTCCTGAGGACTGGGATTACTAGTGTATCCACTTCCCAACTCAATAAATCTTACAAGAAGAAATTTTAGTTGTTTGTATATAATAGATATATTTTCTCCCATTCAGTGGGTTGCCTTTTCACTCTGTTGGTAATTCCTTTTGGTATACATGTATACATTTTAATTTAAATCTTGCATATGTGTGTGTGGCAGGGGAATGAGGACAACTTTGCTTCCACCATGTGGATCCTAGGGTTTTAATTCAGGTGTTCAGGCTGGGAAGCAAATCCCTTTAGCGCTGAGTCTTCTGACTGACCTTATTCCTTGCTCTGAGTATCCCAGCTCATCCCTCACTCTGTATAACTGAGGACAGCCTTGAACTTCTGAGCCTCTTGCTTCCTGGCTCCCATCATCCCAAGTGCTGGGGTGGCAGGCATTCCACACCTACCATGCCTGTATTTGCACTTTCATAGCCTTTACTGATTCTTGTAATGAATAACTGTTTATTTTGATTTATAAAAAATCATCCTGAACTCAGAACAACTGTTATTAACTTGTAATCAGAGAAAATTCTTAGGACTTAAAGTTGGTCTTAACTAAAGTAAAACTTATAACAGCATTCTTAATTTCTTTTAAAGGATGGATCTTCAGTTAAGGGAGTTGAAATCTACCACCATACACATTCTTTAAGATCGTTGAGGAAAAAAGCACAGATTTCTTCAGATTCGAGTTTTGATAAGACCATGGAAAGAACAGAGAAACACACTAATGGCAGACATTTCACAAGGTAATACAAGATGTTTGACCACTAATTCAAAATGACCTTAAAATTGTTTTTTGCTGTTTTGTTTGTTTGGTTGGTTGTTTGGTTTTCGAAACAGGGTTTCTCTGTGGCTTTGGAGACAGTAGTATTTTTTTTTAAGCTTTTTTTTTTTTTTTTTTTTTTTACTTTTTATATATGTATTTGCTACTTTGTGTGTTGTCCATGCATGGATGCAGGCAGGTATGTGGGTGTTGATGCGTGTGGAGGTCAGAGGTTGATGTGGCGTGTCTCCTCTGATTGTTCCTCACAGGGTTTGGTTTTGGGCTTTTCTTGCTGCTGCCCTTTTTACTGTTGCCAGCACTCTATATTGTAACTTGTTTTCCTTCCCTTTTCCGTCTGTTTGTGTCTGAAAGATCAGATAATCAGTATTGCTGGGAAATGTAGGAAATTTGAGGAGGCATTCCATTGTGGTGGATCTGTATATTTCTTGGATCATGGTGGTGTTCTTGACTAGGGGCAGGAGAGCACACCAGTGATCTTCAGGGAGTACATGAGACCTGTGAAATCATGTTTTAATTTGTGTGTGCGGTTTTCTAGGTGAAAAAGACAAATAACTTTACTCAGATTCTCGGGAGTTGAAGTCTAGCCACCTGGTTTTACAAATTTCACTGGCATACAACTATCTCATTCTTATGGCTATTTTCATGCTACAGTGTACAGTGGCAACTTCACAAAAAAGTTAGTAATTTCACTAAAATTAAAAACCCATCAGGTCAAGTGCAATAGCAGCAACAAAAAACTACTTTAATTGCTTCATTTGAAGTATTTTATGTGGTTTGATGGGCAGGGCTCCTTGAGAAAACAAAATTATGAGCCAAAAAACTAGCTCTTTGGTGAATTGCTCAGACCTTTTTTCTCTCTTCATGCTTATTGACTGAGCATGTGTACATGCAGAAGACAACTGCTAGGAGCTTTTCCTTCTGCTGTGTTGATTCCAGGGATAAAACTGAGGTCTCTGCTGGCCCTGCTTTAAATTAAAAGCCTTTATTTTCTCTTTGGTTCTTACCTGTGTCCCGAGAAAGGTAAGGAATTAATGCTATTCACAATTCAAAGGATATTGGGGTGAATTATTCTAGAAAGTTTCCGTATTTTTTTAGCTTTGTGTTAATGTGGTATGCGTTCATGTTTGGGTGTGTGCATGTGTGTGTAGGAGTGTGCATGCAGTTTTGTAGGCCAGAGGTCTTCTTCCATTGACTGTCTACCTCATTGTGAAGTAGGAATTTTCAGTGAGCTTGGAGCTCATCACTTCAGCCTGTCTAGCTGGCCAATAATACCCTCTGGAGATAGCCTGTTTCAGCCCACCCCGCCACAGCTCCTCCCCCACTCCAATTCTAGTTGGGTACTGGGCATCCTTATGCTTGTACAGTGGACATTGTGTCAATTTATAAAAAAAAAAATTAGTGTTTTTGTTTTGTTTTGTTTTTTTATGCTGAAAATAGAACCCAAGATCTTACACTAGGAAGTGTTTTACCGCTGACATGTATTCCTAGATTCAATTCATTTTAAAGAATAGTATTTGGGGGGCTGGAGAGATGACTCAGCGGTTAAGAGCACTGACTGCTCTTCCAGAGGTCCTAAGTTCAATTCCTGGCAACCACATGGTGGCTCACAACCACCTTGAATGAGATCTGGTGCCTTTTGCTGGCATGCAGGCAGAAGGCTATATATACAATAAATAAATAAAATATTTTTTAAAAACGTATTAAAAAAGAACAATATTTGTTTATGGAGACTGGGGTTAATACATTTAAGTTACTATGTATAGGATTTGAAAGACGATGAAGTCCTTTTTTAATTCAGTAAATTCTCTACAATTTTTGGTCGTGGAAGAGATGATTAGTTTCAGACAATTCTCTATGTGAGTGTGGCCTTGAATTCATTATGCATCAAAAGCTGGGCTTGGACTCATGGTTATCCCTTTGTATTTATTCAATTACTTATTTGTTTGTTTGTTGAGATAAGCCCCTGTAAAGCCCCGGCTGTCCTGCAACTTGATATGTAGACCAGGCTGACCTTGAACCCAGAAATTTATGTGTCTGCTTTCTTAGTTCGTGAGTACTCACTCCATGGCGATCCTCCAGTGCTGTGATCAGCTTCAAGGAGGCAGTTGTTCACAGAAAACAATTAACATATCTCCTTGTGTGACACATGCTTCTATGCAGTGTTTCCTTCAACTAGACTTGGCTAAGAGTTAATAGTCAGTGTGTAGTTGACAGCTATAATCCCTGCACTTAGAAGGCTCAGCAGCTAAGAGTGCTTCCTGCTCTTCCAATGGACCCAAATTCAGTTCCCAGCAGCAAGTCAGCTCCAGAGTATCCAACACCTTCTGGATTCCACATGGGCAAACACATAGCTAAAAATAAATACAAATGAAGGCTAAGGCACAAGTTTTGCCATGACTTCATATCTAGCCTGGGCTACAATGTGAGATCCCATCCCAAAAACTAAATAAATAAATAAATGGATTAGTCATTGAATTCAAAACAGACTTTTGTGTAATCATAACATACAGATGTTTTCAATGTCTCTTGGTTTTTTGAGTGTCTAAGTTTCTTACTTACTTGACTTAACCTACCACCTTAGTTTGCCATATAGGAGTAGGATTTAAACGTGTTGTCAATTTTATCTTTAGATTATTTAACATTCTTTATATAGGCAATTGGCTCGACAGCAGGCTGACAAAAAGAAAGAAGAGTGCAAGGAAGGTAAGTTGTGCCAACAGCACTTCAGCTTTTAAAACATGGTTCATAATGTTTATAGGTTTATTGAAGCACATACAATAACCTGTGCATAAAGTGTATATGCTGAAGATTTGACAGTGTGCAATAGAAGCCATCATATGCTAATATAGTAAAAATAACCTTTACCCCTAGAAGTTTCTTCAAGAATGGCCCCTGTAGACTCATACAGTTAAATACTAAATCACCAGGGGGTGCAGTAAGGTTTCAAAAGCCCAAGCCAGGCCTAGTGTCTCCCTTTCTCCACCTGCTACTGAACAGGGTGTTACTCTTAGCTAAGGCTTTAGCAACTGCCTGCCTGCCGTCATGCTCCAGACCATGATGGTAATGGACCAGACCCGAAACTAAGCAAGCCCCAGTTAAGTGCTTTTCTTTCATGCTTTTTTAAAAGGAGTTGCCTTCGGCATGGTGTCTCTTCATAGCAACAGAACGGTGACTAAGACACTCTTATAGTCTTGGCTCTTCCAGGTCTGGCCTTGCCCCTGGAAGCTTCCATAGTAATCACCAGTCTTCTTGAGAACCCAAGACAGGGTTTCTCTGAGTAGCCATGCTGTCCTGGAACTCACTCTGTAGACCAGGCTACCTCAAACTCACAGAGATCTGCCTGCCTCTGCCTCCCGAGTGCTGGGATTAAAGGTGTGCCTCCACTGCCCAGCGTGTTTTCTGTTGCTGTAGATTAGTTTGCATTACCTAGAGATTTATGTAAACAAAATCATACAGGATCTTTTATATCATTTCTTTCACTTGGCAAAGTTAATTTTAGGTATTGTCCATGTTGCTACTTTTGTAGTTGTTAGGATTCTTTGAATATACCATGACTTACTACCCAGGCTGATCTTTTAGAAAACTCAGGCTCTTCTTGATGGTGGGGATTACAGGCTCTGTTACACCTGGCTATATCTTGTTCTCTTTTAATAGACTTGAGTTGTTTTCAGTTTGGAGCTATTACAACGTACTTTAAACTTTCTGTTACAAGTCTGTGTATGACATATCTTCTCTGAAGTGGAGTAGATCATACCATAGTTATATGTTGTAGCTTAAAATTTCTTCTAGAAAAGCAAATTTAACATGATATAATTTTGCTACATGAAAGTAGCTCTCTTGTGCATTTTCAAGTTGTTGTGCTAATACTTATTTGAAATCTGTTTTTCTGTACATGTTTGTGAAGACAAAGCTATTCCAATTACTCACTCATTGAGGAATAGAGACATTGCTCAAAGTACAGAACATTTGCATGAACAGAATGGAGATGTTGAAGTTCGAAGAAGTTGTAGGATTAGAAGTCGTTACAGTACTGTGAACCAGTCTGTGCTATTTGACAAACTTATAACCAAGTAAGTAAAAATTATTATGATCAAAACTATGTATCTGGAACAAACTTTATTAGAGAAGGATTGTGAATTTTTACTATTCCCCCTCCCCAACACACACACAAACTATGTAGCTGGCTGGCCTTGAACTTAGAGATCTGCCTTCCTCTGCCTCCTAAGTACTAGGACCAAAGGTGCCTGCCACCACCACGGACCTCTCCTCAGCTTTCCTCTCTAGAATTTTAGGGATTGACTATCTTTTATGTGTGCCAGGGAACTGTACTACCATTGAGCTATACCCGGCCCTGTCCTGAACATTGTAATCTATTTGATTTATGTGACGCATACAGGAGAATGGCTATTGGTAACCTTTATTCTATATGGTTGTTTAATGGAAAGAAGTGTTTGAATATTTACCAAGTAAGTCTGCTTCTTGCTGAAGTATTTTTATTAATATTTTCAAAGCACTGCTGAAGCTGTGCTCCAAAAGATGGATGACATGAAAAAGATGCGCAGACAGCGAATGAAAAAACTTGAAGATATGGGAGTGTTTAATGAAACAGAAGAGGTAAATATGTTTTTTCATTGGGTGGGGACACAATTGCGCATTTAGTACCTAGTCCATTATGGGTAGTGATTAGTCATTTTGTCCAGCCTTTGTTGGGTTAATTAGAGGTTTTAATGTGTGAGAACACACACAAGATGTTAATAGACCTTACTTAAACGTTTGCAGAGCACCCTTAGCGTGTACACAAGAGGGAAACAGAAGGCTGCACAGCAGCGAGCTGATGAAGAGACCACCGACAACCAGGATGGCAGTGTGGGTTAGTTTTGGGTCTGTCTTCTGTCTTCGGGTTTAATCATGTTTACCTTACTCAGGGTATGTGACCTTTACTGTAGTAGGCACTGGTTATAATTTTTTAAGTATGTTTTTTATTTAAATTAGAAACATGCATGCTTCAAATATCAATCCCAGCTCCCCCCTTCTCCCTCCACCAGCCCCCCAACCCTCAGCCCAATCCCCACATCATTCCCCAGGGAGGGTGAGGCCCTCCATGGAGGATCTCCAAAATCTGTCATTTCATTCAGGGCAGGACCTAGGCCCTTCCCCATGTGTCTAGGCTGAGAGAGCATCCCTCCGTGTGGAATGGGCTCCCAAAGTCCATTCGTATGCCATGGTGAACACTAGTTTACTACCCAAAGCCCCAGAGATTTCTGAGGCCTCCTCACTGACACTACATTCATGGAGTCTAGATCAGTCCCCTGTTGGCCTCTCAGCCATCAGTCTGGGGTTCAAGAGCTCCCCTTTGTCCAGTCAGCTGTCTTTGTGGGTTTCAGCACTGGTTATAATTTAAAAGACATGTAGACGAGGGAGAACTCAAAACAGGACATTATGTTTTGTTGGAGAAAGTAACTGAAACCAACAGTTTTAAGGTGATAATTGGTTTGCTTGTGTAATAAAACTGCAGATAGTTTATCATATATCTGTATTTTAGTTAAAGTTTTTATTAATTTATTCTTTTTTTTTTTTCTTTTGACTTTTCAAGATAGCGTTTCCTCTGTGTATCCCTAGCTTGGCTGCCCTGGAATTCACTCTGTAGACCAGGTTGGCCTTGAACTCACAGAGATCCGCCTGCCTCTGCCTTCCTAATGCTGGGGTTAAAGGCTTTCTAAGTTTTAAGTCTATAATTTCTACCTCAATTTTGAAAAATTCTTAATGTGGCAAATTCTTTTGGGGGGGGGGTTTACGAGACAGTGGTTCTCTGTATTGTTTTTGGAGGCTGTCAGTCCAGCCCGTCCTCGAACTCACAGAGATCCACCTGTCTTTGCCTTAATGTGGCAAATTCTATGAATGGAAAAATATAGGTAAAGTTTTAAAAGATCCCTTTCCCTCCCTGCTCCCTATGTTAACATCTGTCAACTTGCTGAGTGTATTGGATGTGTTTATTTTGGGTGGGGGTGGTGAGTGTATGTGAAGGTCAGAGGACAATTTTCAAGACTTGCTTCTCTGAGTTTGTGGGTCCTGGGCATGGACTCAGTTTGTCAGTTTGGTGGCAGTTACCCTTACCTGCTGAGCCATCTTGTGAGCCCCCGGTGTTTATTCTCAAATGTAGAATCATCTGAAGAGGGTGAAGAGCAAGAAGATGATGATGGTGAAGATGAAGAAGATGATGAAGATGAAGACGATGAAGATGGAGAAGAGGATAATCAAAAACGATACTATCTTAGGCAGAGAAAAGCAACCGTGTACTATCAATCACCACTAGAAAGTAAGTACTGCATGTGGTCTTCCAGGAGAAAGACAGATTTGAAGTACCTTCTCTTTACTGTCCTTTGATCTTAGAGAGGACCATCTACCTCTTAATCCTGAGTCCTAGGGTTACAGGTGTGTGTCTGGCTTCTATGGCTTGTGGCTGACTTTGCTTTCTGAATCCTCAGGCAAGCTTTAATAAATCGTAAATAATATTATCACTACAATTCCAAGGCCACCAGATCTACACAAGAGTGAATCAGTCTAAAAGAGAATTATAGCTCACACCTTTAATCCCAACATTAGGGAAATATATAAGACAGAAGCAAGGTCTCAGAGAGGCTTCGTTCTCCAGCCACACTGAGGAGAGGCAGCAGTCTGAGGCTCAGTGGAGCTCATGCAGATAGGACCAGCCCCTTCAGCCTGGGATAGAGGTGAGAGCTAGAAGCTAGCTGCTTTGCTTTTCTGATATTTAGTTTAAAGTTTGAGCCCCAATATCTGTAAGTGGGTCTTTTATTTATCCTGTTACAGTTCTTCTGCTTTTCTTTTCTCGGTTTTTCGAGACAGGGTTTCTCTGTGGCTTTGGAGGCTGTCCTGGAACTAGCTCTTGCAGACCAGGCTGGTCTTGAACTCACAGAGATCCGCCTGCCTCTGCCTCCCGAGTGCTAGGATTACAGGCATGCACCACCACCGCCCGGCCTGCTTTCCCTTTTTTAAACACTTGCATACCGTGTGGTGTGTGTGCACATGCCATGGTGCGCATGGGGGTGCAGTCAGTTATCTTGTTCTGTGTGGGTCTGGGTGATCATACTCCTGTCCTCAGGCAGTCTTTGTAGCAAGTGCCCTTACCTACTGGCTCATCTCACCAGCCCTGGTTTGTTTGTTGTTACTCTGTTTTAAATTAGATGTGAAAGGCTGGTGTATCTCATTGCCATATCTTGTAAAGAGAGTTATTTAAATGTTGCTTTGAACAAAACAAATAATTGAGCTATTTTGAGATTTTTGTCTTTTTTATCTTTTTTTTTTAATCTTATGTTCATGAAAAAGATACCTCAATAGCTTGTGAGCTTTTATGCTCAGGGGAGACAATACCTGTTATGCATGTATAATCATGATGATTGTATGTGGAGATATATATATATATATATATTGGTTTTTACGAGACAGGGTTTCTCTGTTTTGTTTTGGAGGCTGTCGGTCCAGCCTAGCCTCGAACTCACAGAGATCCGCCTGCCTCTGCTTCCCGAGTGCTGGGATTAAAGGCGTGTGCCACCACTGCCCGGCGTATGTGGCTATTTTAGTTAGTTGTTCTATACATACATATATGTATGAGTCCATGTACAGCACCTCCACACAAGTGCCCATGGAGGCCAAAAGGGTGTTGGATTCCCTGTAATTGGAGTTACAGGTGGTTGTAAGTCACTCCGTGTACTGGGAATGGAACTCAGGTCTGAAAGCAGTGCTCTTTACAGCTGAGCTGTCTCTCCAGCCCATACTGTATATTCGTTAATATCAACCCCATCGATAAATGACATTAGTGAATATGATTTAGATACTTTCTAGTACTTTATGGAAGGCAACACCTTTGTAAGTATGTAAAGACTTTTTAATATATTTTACATTATGCTTGTATCTCTTTTTCTAGAACCTCGTCACCAGAGAAAGCCCAACATATTTTATAGTGGCCCAGCTTCTCCTGCAAGACCAAGATACCGATTATCTTCTACAGGTCCAAGAAGTCCCTATTGTAAACGAATGAACAGGTTAGGCTCTGAAATCGTGATTGATCTGTGATAGCATAATTGGCTGTGTTATGGTAAGGTTCTAGACTCTTTGGTTGAGTGTGTTAGGACGGAATTCTAGAATTTCACACAGGGAGAGCTCTGCCCTGCATTTAGTGCTCTAGCTCCCATTGCCAGTGACTGTTGTTTTTGCTTTCATTATACAGAGTATTAGTAACTGCTTGGTAAGATAGTTTAATCCCATTATACCACGTTGGATAATAGGTCTGCTTTGACTTAGTGTATACTATAGTTTAGGCTCTATGTTAAGTATTTTACAAAGATGATTTCGTTTAAATTTCACATTTAAACTGTAGCCTTTCCTTATATCCTGCCACAAGCATAACCTTCCACCATGTTAAATATTCTAAGTCATATAGCTTCTAGACTTGATCATGACGCTGACCACCTTTCTTGGATCTGTTTTATAGTTTCTCGTGTTTTTTCACTGGAGAATTTCTGTTTCTTCTATATCCGAACAGTTGTTTTCTTTCAGATATAACTTTACAGAGGTAACATACTTATTTTCCATCCTGAGTAGTATAAGGTTTTGTGATAAATTAGGATAACCAAGGTTTGGGTAGTATTAAAAAGACAAGAATGATACTGGTATGAAATTTAAAATATTGATTTTCAGAAATAAGACTGAAATCATAATTTTCAGCTACTTAAACAATTCTCAGAGAATCTGTACTGGATCTGGTCATGCATTGGACATGGAAAGCAAAAACTTCAAGTGTTGAAGAGTCATTTCTTTTAGGGAAAATAAGTATACTTGTGTCCTTAGGCCTTCTAATTTTGTCAGAATTACAAGTAGGTATTCTGAGTTTCTTTTTTCTTTTCTCCTTTTGTTTTGTCTTGGGGGTGTTGGGGGATTTTTGTTTTGTTTTGTTTTTTTTCGAGACAGGGTTTCTCTGTATTGTTTTGGAGGCTATTGGTCCAGCCCAGCCTCGAACTCACAGAATTTTTTTTTTTTTTTGAGACAGTATTTCCCTGTGAAACTTTGTAGCCTGTCCTGTCAACTCACTCTATAGACCAGGCTGACCTGGAACTCACAGAAATCCGCCTGCCTCTGCCTCACGAGTGCTGGAATTAAAAGCGTGTGCCACCACTGCCCAGCGACCTGAGTTTTCTTTTTTTCCGTCAGCCCTTTTTACCCAACCCTGAAGGATGGAGGATCAGAAAGGCACGTTGCACTTGTCAACCTCTCAAGATCAATTCTACTCAAAAGGATTCTGCACTTTTGAGTATTCCCATGAACACTTCTAGAGAGCTGTTCAAGCTAGACCTGGTGGTTTGTCCTCTGATCCCCGCTGGATACTGAGGCCTGCCTGGGCTACAGAGCAAGTTCAAGGCTAGCTTAGTCAACTTAGCAAGACCCTGCTTCTAAATAAATAAATACATCCTTCAAAAACACATCCCCTGTGACCTGTTTCCTCAGTCTAAGCGCCACCTTCTAATGACCTGTTCCTTTATGAACTCATACTTGGAGTAATCTGTTGATGAGGTCAGCATTCTTCTGGATTCTACCTCTCAATAGTGCACCATCTGGTGACAAGCTTTTGTGTTTTGTTTGCTTTGCTTTGCTTTTCCAGACAGGGTTTCTCTGTGTAGCCTTGGCTGTCCTGGAACTCACTATGTAGACCAAGCTGGCCTCAAACTCAGAGATCCGCCTGCCTCTGCCACCCGAGTGCTGGGATTAAAGGCATATGCCACCACTGCCTTTTTTAGTTTTTAGTTTTGTTTTGTTTGTGACAGACTTTTAATAGTTAAGCTTTTGAGGGTCAGATGGTTCTTTTATTTACAAGATGTAATACCTTATGTTGGTCCACTAGGTTTTGTTGTTTGCTTATAATTTTCACTGGTTTCACCAGTACAGTAATATTTGCCTTTTTGGAATAGATGTAGGTTTAAATTCAAACAATATCATTGACTTGTTGTTATAGTTTGAACCTGTTGAACCTCTCTGACCCTGACTGTAAATTGAGCCTACTAATAATATATGTTGTATACAGAATTTTAATTAAGACTAAATGAGAAGGCTGGTTGGTGTATCTCAGTGGTAGAGCATTTGTTTAACATATGCAAGGCCCTGGGTCCAACACTCACTAGTTGGAGCAGTAGGTAGTGAGAAATAAATAGTATGTCAAATAGGTATATGGGAAACAGTCAGTAAATATGACATTTCTTCAAATTGTGAAGTGTCTTGATTCTGTGAATATATAGTAAGTTTACATATAGTGGGGTTATTTTAGAGTATTGATGGTAATATTAAATATTCAGGCTTGTACTAATTCGGTTGTAGGATGGTCATAGAAATGTTCTTCGGTATATAGATCAATAGAGAGTTATTTTCTCATTTATTCTGACTTTACAAACCCTTGCTCAAAACCCTTGAAACCATTTGTGTTTGAAATTTCAGATTGTTTTTGGGAATGTTTACAAAAGTTATCATATAACCAGTAATAAGTAGCATTATAATCTCCAGCCACCTGAGCCAGCACTGCGTAGTCAAAGATGTCAGCATTCCTATTATGAAACCTATGAACAATCACAGTGAGTGGTGTAGAGACCATGAGTTGCTCTGTGCTATTTCTGGTAATGTTTCCTTTGCTGAGTAATTATAACTCGTTCTAGGGGTTTATTTATTTTATTCGTATGAGTGTTTTGCCTGTATAGCATTTGTGCAATACCTGTAGAGACCAGAGAGGGTATCAGATAACCTGGGACTAGACAGTTGTGAGTACTGAGAATTGAACTCAGGTCCTCTGAAAGAGCAAGTACTCTTAATTTCTAAGGCATCTCCAGCCCAAGTTTTTTTGTTTTTGTTTTTCAAGACAAGGTTTTCTGTAACCGTCCTTGCTGTCTTCGAACTCATAGAGATCTCCCTGCCTCTGTCTCCCAAATGCTGGGATTAAAGGCATGCCCCATTACTGCCTGGCCAGACCCAAGTTTTTTAAGGTCAATTCTAGACTTGGATTGTATAGATACTTTTGTAAAAAAGAGTGTGAACCTTTTGTGTCTTTGAAAATACTTGCTTGCTTATTATATTCTAAAGTTGTAGCTCTTAAACCAATAGAATGGTTAAAGTTTTCAAGCCTGGTGGTGGTGGCGCACGCCTTTAATCCCAGCACTCAGGAGGCAGAGGCAGGCAGATCTCTGTGAGTTTGAAGCCATCCTGGTCTACAGAGCGAGTTCCAGGACAGCCTCAACTACAGAGAAACCCTGTCTCAGGAAAAAAAAAAAGTTTTCTCAGCCAGATTTTTTTGTTGTTGTTTTTCTTTCCATGAGTCTTTGCAACTGTCAAAGGCATTTTTCCTGTGTATTTGTAGTACTTGGCATGTTATGTACTATTGACGAATCTAAGAACTTAATCACATTTTGTAAGAAAACTCACCTGTTGTGGTGGCACATGCAGGTAGGATTTGCTGAAGGAGGCAGAGGCGGGAGGATCACAAGTTCAAGTCCAGCCTGGGCTACACATTTTTTTTAAACCTGGGCAGTGTGCCTTTAAATCCCAGCACTAAGGAGGAGGAGGCAGGTGGATCTCCGTGAGTTCAAGGCCATCCTCATCTACAGAGCAAGTTCAAGAACAGCCCCCAAGCTACAGAGAAACCCTTCCTCAAAAAAAAAAAAAAGAAAGAAAGAAAAGAAAAGAAAACTGGAATTTCATGCTGTGCAGTTGACAACATACTATAAATAAAAGGCCATCTTAATCCTTTTTTTCTTTGTGTTTTGAAGACAGGGTCTCACTGTGTGGCTCTGGCTGTCCTAAAATTCACTATATAGAACAGGATTGCCTTAAACTCACAGAGATCCACCTGCTTCTGCTTCCTTAGTCTCTCTCTCCAAGTGCTCCACTATGCCTTACTCCATCTTATGCTTTATTATTTCCCAGGGCTTCGTGTGAGAAAAGTAAACATTGTGCTACTTAGGTATACTCTTAAGACCTCACAGCATTTCAAAAATATTTAGAACACTTATTTAGTGTGTGCCAGTGTAAGTGTATGCACATGCGAAGGCCAGGACACTTGGAGGAAATTGGTTCTCTCCTTTCATTTTATGGGCCCCAGGAATTACAACTCAGCCAGTCAGCCTTGGTTGACTAAGCTCACCTTTACCCAGAGAGCACTTCTGCTTACCCTTCTTTCTTGATAGCTTTTTTCTTTCATTAAAAATTATCTTTAAAAAAAAACTACTTGTCGGGCTGGAGAGATGGCTCAGAGGTTAAGAGCACTGACTGCTCTTCCAGAGGTCCTGAGTTCAATTCCCAGCAACTACATGGTGGCTCAAACCATCTATAATTCAATCTGGTGCCATCTTCTGGCATGTATATGTAATAAATAAATAAATCTTTAAAAAAATAAAATAATTTAAAAAAACTACTTGTCATTTCAAAGCTAGCTAATTTCTAGCATAAAACTTGGTGATATTGAATATACGTGTTCAGCCAGGCATGATGCCACATGCCTTTACTCCCAAGCATAGGCGGGCTGGTCTCTGAGTTTGAGGCCCACCTGGTTTACATGGTGAGTTTCCTCTCAGTCAGGACTACACAGGGACCCTGTGTCAAGACTAAGAAGTCACCTCCTACATTGTCTTTGATGTTAATGAGCATTTGACGATCTTGTTTTTCTTCCCTTTCTCTTGGCTGTGTCTTTTCCCTCATTGTTTTAGAGAATATGTTACGTTATTTATACACGTCTTTTGAGATCATTAGATATCTCTATACCTATGTCCTCTCCCCTCTTCCTGTTTCCCGTCTCATGATTTCAATTTCCCTGTTTAGGCGACGGCATGCAATCCACAGCAGTGACTCTACTTCCTCCTCCTCTTCTGAAGAGGAGCACTTTGAGAGGAGAAGAAAAAGGAACCGAAACAGAGCTATTAACAGGTGAGCTCTGACCCTTTGGAACTTAAGAGTTTTAGGGCTAGCCTGGGCTATGTGGTAAGCCTAATTTCAACAAAAACAGAGACTTGGAGGAAGAAGAGATGGAATGAATGTGTTTTAAACCTACCAAATATATTTTAAAAATATTTTTTCCTTAAAATTAAGTATTTATCATGAGACAAGATACATATATGTATGTTATGATGTGCCTGTGGAGGTCAAAGGACTTGATTTAGTTGGTTTCTCCTTTCACTTGTGTGGATTCCAGAAATTAAACTCAAGTTGTCAGGCTTAACATTACTCCTGAGCCATGTGGCTGGTCCTCAGATACCTTTTATGGGTGATGAGAAAGTAGAATAATTTAGAAATAAGTATAGTGGTGGTGGTGGCACATGCCTTTAATCCCAGCACTCAGGAGATAGAGGCAAGCGAATCTCTGAATTCGAGGCCAGCTTGGTCTACAGAGCAAATTCCCAGACAGGCTCCAAAGCTACAGAGAAACCCTGTCTCAAAGGAAAGAGAAGGAAGGAAAAAAGAAGGAACAGCTTAGCTGATTAAAAAGGTTGCACCAGAGATTAATGCAAAGCAAACTTCTGCCTCCCTAGAAATATCTACAGTTAAAACAAATGGTAGGATAGAACATAAGGTTACACTTTTATTTCCAGACCAGTATATTGGTTGATTTGTTTGTTTGTTTTGCCCCAAAAGCAGAAACCCACATTTATTTACATCCTTTTCATTAGTTTGAATATGTGAGGGTGCAGCATCCCACAGAGGACTGTGTCCACTGGCCTTTGCAAGAAGGCTACTTCAGAATTTGGCAGAAATCACACCACTGTTTACATAAGCCCAAGTTGCCCGACCCAAGATTTTTGTTCAGTATGACTACAGGAGTCAGTCACTGTGCTTTTTTTTTGCTTTATACACATTCGCCTATATGTTGCCTAAGTAGAACTCAGTTTTGTCTTGGGTTTTAAAAACACCTTTTTTTATTTTTTTATTTTTTTTGGTTCTGGAGCCCTTACTTATGGCAAAAAAAAAAAAAATGGCCTTGTGCCACAGCCTTCCAGCTTGGTTTGCCTTTTCCAGTCCCAGCAAGCCTCTACAGACACCAAGACGGAAAAAGGGATTGTAATAGATTTTAATGTTGGCTTGGTGAACATTGGCTTGAGGGAATAACTTTTGGTTTTTGTTTTTAATATATTTTTTCACCTATTGGAAAATTATTAATTGAAATGGAAAGATTTGATTATTTTTAATTGTAGCTTAAGTCCACATGCTAGCCAGTTCAATTCTCATAGCTAGGTGGGTAGGTATGAATGCAATAATGGATTCTGACAATTAAGTATTTTCAGAGCAGAAACTAATGTTTGAAACAGGGTTGGGTGGGTGGATGGGTGGGTTGGTTGGTGTCTTGAGACAAGCTCAGTTTGGCCTAGAACTTGCTGTATGCAGTTTAGGATCTTGAACTCCTGATTTCCAAGTGCCAGGATTGCAGGCACGTATCAGCATCCCTTGTAGTAATCACATGATGGCTCACAAGTAGTCTGTAACTCAAGCTGCTTGCTTGTGTAGAGTCTGAAGGTTGACACTGGTTGTGGTCCATAGGCACTCTCCACTTTGTATTTTGAGACAGGGTCTCTCACTGAGCTGGGGCTCGGTCTTGGGGCTACTCTGGCTAACTAACTTGCTCTGGGGATTCCTTATCTCTGCTTCCAGGACCCTGAGATTACTGTGGGCCTGCCACCTCTACCCAGATTGTAATATACTTGGGAGATTGCTAAACTCCTGTCCTCCATTTTTGGCAGTAAACCCTTTACCCACTGAGCCATTTTCTGCAACCCCAAACATTTTTAAATAAGAAAAATAATGTTGTAATGTGGAATTTAGGGAGGAGGGTGATTTGATGTGGGACTATATATATATATATATATATATGTATATATATGTGTATATGTTTGTGTATATGTTTGTGTGTGTGGTGTGGTTTTTTTATGTTTGTTTTTTTAAACAGGTGCCTTCCACTAAATTTTCGGAAAGATGAAATAAGAGGGATTTATAAAGATCGGATGAAAATTGGAGCAAACCTTGCTGATGTTGACCCAATGCAACTAGATTCTTCAGTGAGTATTTTAAAATTCATGCTTGATTTGAGGTGTCATTTTGTTCCCTTTACTTTTGTTTTAAGTTTAAAAAAATTTTTACTTATCGGGAACTTATATCTTACATACATTTTAAGAACAAAAATCTTTGGAGAGTTGGAGAGATGGCTCATCTCAGCCTTTAGAGCATTTGTTGCTCTTGCAGAGGACCTGAGTGTGATTCCCAGCATCCATATGGTGATTCATACAAAACAAACAATAAAAAAAAATCTTGGAATACTTCTGTTAATCAGTTAGTTGCAGGATGGGTGTTGTTGTGAAGACACAAGGCAGTGTTTTTAATTTGAACTCAGATCTATGTCCTGTCTCATTCCAGGTACGATTTGATAGTGTTGGTGGCTTGTCCAATCACATTGCAGCACTGAAAGAGATGGTGGTGTTTCCCTTACTTTACCCAGAAGTCTTTGAAAAGTTTAAAATTCAACCCCCAAGGTAACCTAAGCGTGCTTTTCCTTGTAGCCGTCATGTGTGCTGTGCCACTGCTGCTTCTCTGACTTCTTGCGGTCGTGGTTTTACTTAGGCTGTGAGTGGGCGCGTGGGCGCGGATGCACATGTAAGCGTGTGGCAGTCAGAGATGATGTCGGGTGTCTGCTCTGACGCTTGCAGTCTTCTTCCCTTGAGACGGGCTCTCACTGAGTCTGGAGCTAGCTGCCAGCCAGCAGACTCCAGCAATCCTTTCATCGCTGCCCCCGCAGCCCCAGATTGCTGGTGTACACATAGCCGTGACCAGCTGTTTGCATGTGCTCTGGGATTCGAACTGAGATGATGAAGCTTGTATGGCCAGTGCTTTCACTGGTTACAGACTGGTTGTGAGCCACCAGACTTGGATGCTGCTCCCAAACGCTGCTCTTGTCAAAGAGCTCTGGGTCCTTAATCACAAGCCTGGCCCCATTGTAAAGGTGGAGGATAGAACCGCTCCAGAGTTGTCCTCCAGGCACACAGAATCACTAACCGATTTTACACCAGCTCACCCAAGTTTCTGTATTTCTCCTTAAAATACTGCCCCTCCACAGAAAATCAAGAGAGAACTGTGTGACTGTGTTGTATGATTACACGTATGCAAGATAATATGCATATGATGTGCATGATCCAGTCATAAAGGGCAGTGTTTCAAATAAAGGAATTTATTTAGTTTCTGTATTAATTTATTGAATTGGTATTAACTCCCAGAGCTTTTGGTTTCTTTGTAGCTTTGGAAGCTGTCCTGGAATTAGCTCTTGTGGGTCAGACTGGTCTTGAACTCACAGAGATCCGCCTGTCTCTGTCTCCCGAGTGCTGGGATTAAAGGCGAGCACCTCCACCACCTGGCGCTCCCAGAGTTTTAACTTGTACTTTTGTATAATGAAACCATTTCAGTTGTTTACTATTTTTAATTGATTAGTGGCTAGGGGATTGGTTCTTAGTTTTTGTTTCAGTAGTCTACCTTTTCATTTAATGCCAAAAACATTTGACATGTTTTACAGAGGTTGCTTGTTTTATGGTCCACCCGGAACTGGAAAAACGCTGGTTGCTAGAGCACTTGCCAATGAGTGCAGTCAAGGGGATAAAAGAGTGGCCTTTTTCATGAGGAAAGGGGCTGACTGTCTGAGTAAGTGGGTCGGAGAATCTGAAAGACAGCTGCGATTGCTTTTTGATCAGGTATGATAATGAAATCTACCTATCTAGTTGTAATCTGCAGATTCGACTGTATAAGGGTTTATTTTGTTTTATGGAAGAAGGTTTTGGGGGCTTACTGTCCCAGAGGGATAAGGGTCCATTGTGGTGGCAGGTGCAGGCATGGTGGCAGGGGTAGGAAGCTGGGAGCCACGGTCTAGACTGTCTCCTGGACGGGTCCACTCCTTGTTGCAGTTCCCATTGTCAGATGTCACAGTGCTGGCATCTCTTAATATCTTGGGGTATCCATTGCACCTAGGCTTCACTTTCACAGTTTCACAAAATGGCCTTTCAGCCTCTTGCCCTCCAAGGGCCTTCATGCAGGAACTCCCTTGCCATGTGGTTTTTTTGTTTTGTTTTGTTTTTGCCTCTGCAGCTCTCTGACATTGTGGAGGAAGAATCCATGGCCCCTCCCTCTATCTAGTCTTGCACCCTTGCCTCTAAAGCTAGCACCATATGGACAATACTGCCAAGTTTGGCTACTAACGGAGGCGAACCTAGCCACCTTGAATTGTATTAGCAGCAATGCCTTTTTTTTTTTAGTGTCAATGTTTTTAATGCTAATCTACAGCAAACGATGTTATAGATAAGAGGAATACCTAGTAGAGGAGGTAGAGTTGTCTCCTCCTGAGCAGTTTAATAGTAGTAAATTATTTCACAATATAGAAACTGAGTATAATTCTTCCCTAGAATAGCTTTCAGTTTCATATGCCAAATTATATGTGTGAAACAACATTCTACTATGCTAGGATGTACTGCTGAAGGGTTTTTTTTGTGTGCTTTTTGGAAATATTTAGTTTTTTAGGCAAGGTCTGTGTAGCCCTGGCTGTCCTTAAACTCATTGTGTAGAACAGGCTAGTCTTGTCTTGAAATCAGAGCTCTGCCTCCCAAGTGCTGGGATTAAAGGTTTACGCCACCATGCCCTGACACTGAAAATTTTTGAACACTTTTTTAGAACTAAGAGTCTTTGTTTTGTTTCATTAGTAGTTTTGTTTTTAAGTTTGTCGTTTTGTTGAGTAATGTTTTTCTATCTAACATGGAGGGAGAGTGTCACTGTCCTCCTTTATTTGTTTCCATAGTCAGGAATGAAATTTTTCTGTGTGTCCAGTAACTATAACTATATGAAATCCAAGGTACATGACCACTGGATTTTTTTTTTTTTTTTTTTTTTTTTTTTGGTTTTTACGAGACAGGGTTTCTCTGTATTGTTTTGGAGGCTGTCGGTCCAGCCCGGCCTCGAACTCACCTGCCTCTGCCTCCCGAGTGCTGGGATTAAAGGCGCGCGCCACCAACGCCCGGCACCACTGGAATATTTTTGATGTTTCCAATTGAAAATAGAAATAAAATTATGTTAATATAATGTAATGTATAAAGTTCTAAAAATAATCTTTGGAATCTATATTAGTCTTAAATAGTTATAAATGACATTCTGGTAAGCAAAATTGAGTGAAAATAGACTGAAAAGATATATATTCCAATTTACAAATTGTATATTCATAATAACTTGAATGAAAATAGGTTAAAAGGCTTTGTATTAAGTCTATTTGAAGCTTTTTATGATAATAGGACTACTGAACCCTCTTTTAGGCCTATCAGATGCGCCCAGCAATTATTTTCTTTGATGAAATCGATGGTCTGGCTCCAGTACGATCTAGCAGGCAAGATCAGATTCACAGGTAAAACTTGCTTATGTTAATGTTATATGAAAGATAAGTATTAAATGGTGAAAGAAACCCAAATACACAGGTATTCTTTTAGGTGGACCTATTCTGAGAATTGGGTTACTATCAGTTGTTTTAAGGTCTTGGTTACAAACATGCATTTTCGGGTCATTGATCAGAACAAGGCTGTGGTACAGAATGTGGCTGTCTACAACTGGCACCTAGGAATTAGATCCCATAGCTTCAGGGTTGCCACCTCATGCAGATGCTTTCTCCTTTCTAACCTCCAGTACGGGGCGGTGGCAGCCCTTAAACTTGCTGTGCACTGAGACAGGGTCCCTACCCTCAGGTGGCCTTCCTAGTCACTGACTGTTGCTGTGAAGAGACATGACCACAGCAACTCTTAGAATTAGCCGGGCATTGATGACACACGCCCTTAATCTCAGCATGAGTTCAAGACCAGCCTGCTATGCAGAGTGAGTGCCAGGATAGGCTCCAAAGCTACACGGAGAGACCCTGTCTCAAAATATAAAAAAGGAAAGAAGGAGAGAGAGAGAAAGAAAAAGAGAAAGAAATCGGTGACTTGTATTGCGTGGGAGTCAAGATTCCCTGGACTCGGTACAGGTTAAGTGAAGTTTATTTGGGGGGAATGCACTTGCCTTGTACAAGTTCCAGCTGCAAGGACTCACCCAGGCTGCTCTCTGTGACCCAATTGACCAGAAGCAAGAAAGCCCACCTGTCCTTGTCATGTCCGCACTACTACCACGCCTAAATGGGCGTGGTCAGTGCTCCAGGTGCTGGCAGGGTGGATGTCTCACTACAGACTTGCTTATAGTTTCGGGGTTAGTCTGTTATGGCAGCATGGTGGCATGCAATCAGGCACTGGAGAAGTAGCTGAGGACTTTACATCTTGATCCACAAGCAGCAGGTAGGAGAGTGACTGACTGCGTCCTGATGGGCTCCTCCAACAAGGTCACGCCTAATCTTTATAAACCTTTCCAACAGCTCCACCCCCTGGTGACTTAGCCCATTCTCAAGCTGCCACCTGAGCCAAATAAAAATATATCCTAGAGTAATTCTACCCGTTTAAGATGAGAATGCCAAACCTCGTTTTACAGATAGGAAAAAATTAAGCTGTGTATGATGGCACACACCTTTAATCCCAGCACTTAAGAGACAGAGGCAGGCAGATCTCTGAGTTCAAGGCCAGCCTGGTCTACATAGTGAGTTCCAGGACAGCCAGGGTTACACAGAGAAATGTTGTCTTAAAAACAAAAGATAGAAAAGTTATGCTTTTTGAATGAAGATGAGGGCATGGCTCCTCCTATATATGGTTGAGAAGAGTTGTATTGCAGATATGAGGGAGAGTTCAGCCAGAAACATCTGGAAGCGTCCAGACTGAACCAGGCCTGGAGTGGAGAGAGGACCCACAGACCAAGAGAGCTGTGCCCCAAACGGCTGAATTCTATAGGAATTAGAAGCTGGGGGAAGGGAGGTCCAGCCCCTGAGAGGTTTAGGATAGGGGACAGGGTGAGAAGGGCTGGGAGGGGCCACAGGTACTGAATGACACTTCTCCAGGGTTTCTCTGGGACCTGACACTTTTTTCTCCAGGGTTAGAAGAGAGCTACATATGTATCCCAACTCCAAGTTAGCTTGTTAGCCTTTTGTTTGTTTGAAGTCTTAGGGCACTAGGATTGAACCTAGGGCCTTGAACATATATATCACGCAGAAACTTTCAAGTGGTGTCACAAACTACATGTGACTGCCCGATTTTTTTTGAGATACCCTATAAAGCACATTTGCATGTCTTCATATATGACAGTAGTTTTATATATAGTATAGAAGATGAACAAGACATACTAATGAGGTTGATAGGGTTTTTTTGCTTCTAATACAGTGTGTGTGTGTGTGTGTGTGTGTGTGTGTAAAATTTATTTATTACTGGCCTTAATGATAGTTTTTTGTTGTTGTGCTAATTGATTTGTTAAATGCCGTGGTAGAATAGATTTATCTATGAATTCTTTTAGTAATCATGAACTTTATATGGCACGTTATTATCCACTTTTCATTGTGTTGGAGAAAACATTTAATAGTGCAGTCATTTTACAATTAAGAGAACTGATTATTTACTATTATTTTGAAGTAGTTTTATAAAGAAAAATGGAGTAATAGTAGCAAGCAGGAATATTCCATTCCAAATATGTACATACATGTTTGAACAGAAAAGTAATTGTGTTTCCTTTTTTTCTGGAAAGCTCGAAATTTTACAGTAAACATTTCTGAGTTTGTTTCTTAAATAATTTAGTACATTAAAGATAAAACTACATGGCCATAGTAGTGCTTGCCTTTAAGTGTACAAGCCATAGTTACAAATTCAAGGCCAACCCTGATTTAAAGAAAAGGAAATCATATCCAGACAGTGGTGGTGCACACCTTTAATCCCAGCACTTAGGAGTAAGGCAGAGGCAGGCGGCAGTCTCCGTGAGTTCAAGGTCAGCCAGGCCTATGCCAGGAGAAGTTCCAAAGCTACACCAGAAACCCTGCCTCAAAAAAACAAATAAAAAAAATTTTTTTTTAAATCTGAACATTAGACCCTTCGAAGATGAGTATGCACTTACAGCGTGAATATGGTGACTTGAGGTTGATCCAGGAACCCGTGGTAGAAGGATATAACAGATAGACTTCCATGTGTTCTGTGGCAAGTACACACAGTACTTTTTTTTTATTTTTAAAAGTAGTGTATGTTGTGCATGTGTGCCAGCAGAAGCCATAGTTGTTGGATCCCCTGGAACTAGATTTACAGGCTTGTTGTAAGCCACCTGGTGTGGGTGCTAGGAATTGAAGTAGGTCCTCTGGGAGAGCAATTTGTTTTCTCTGAACCTCAATTTTTTATTTGTTTTTAAATAATAATAATAATTAGAACACTAAAATTTTAGGCCATATGTAGTACTGAATGTCTGTAGTCCCAGTACTCTGAAAACTGAAGCAAAAACATTGCCATAGGTTCAAGGTCAATTTAGGCTACTACATTGTGAGTCTGGGGCCAGCCTCAGGTACAAAGCAAGACGTGTTTCAAGACGTGTCTCAAACCTAAAGAGCACCCCCCCTTTTGTTTGTTTGGTTTTTTTTTATTTGAATTTGAAGTAGGAACTCACGATGAATATTCTTTTACTAAGGAAAAGAAACTGAATACCAAGATGGCTTGAGAGCAACTGTCACCTAATTGCAAGTTAAAGCAGATTGTAGTATTGAAGGAAGAAAAGCTGGGGAACCAGGCTTGGAGGGGTTTCAGTTGGCTGATGTAGGACAATTTACAGATTAGAGAAATAATGACTGTGAAATAATAATTAAAGATAAAAACTATTTAAAATTTTTTATTAGTTAATTTGATCACCAGTGTTGCCTCTCCATCAATTGTTACCCTGAAAATTGACTCAAACATTTCTTGTCTTGTACATACTACAATTTAGGGTAATTCAATAGTTGAGACTTGGCTAGACCAAGCACTTACTCTGTCAGTACCACTCGCCACACTCCTATCCAAAATATAAAAGCCAGGAGATGGATGCTGTGTGGAACAGTCGCAAGAAGCTGATCTCAGTGAGAAACTGACGGCATGTACCTGCAGCACAGCAGCATATGAGACACTGGACCTGCATCAGCTGAGCTTCTGGGGTCTTGTGCTGGTTTACAAGACAATGAAAGGTAGACGAGGAAGTTGAAATGGCCCAATCCAGAAGCAAATCTTAGGTCATAAATGGCCTCGTTTCTCAACAAGTAAATGGTGTGAGGAGGAGGAGAATGTACAATGGGAACTTAGAGATCTTAGATACAAATAACCACACCATCTATGGATCTTACAGATCTTGGATTGATTTCAGGCATGAAAGATGTTTTGGGAAATTTGGGGTATAGCTCAGTTCACAAGACAAGAGAGGCTTGATCCTTTGTACTGAAAAAGTTGGGTGTTAGACGGTGCAAGAGTATTGTCACTCACTTTGGGTAAAGTTGAAGTACTTACATAGAATGACTGTACTTACTCTTTAAATGCCTGTGCTTATCAGTTCTTTTCTAGAACCAAGTTGTTGTCTGTATTAGTAGCACTTTGAACTCTCTTGTGGGCATGGGGAGTTGAGACAGGGTTTCCCAGTTTAACAGCCCTGGCTGTCCTGGAACTAGCTCTGTAGACCAGGCTGGCCTCGAACTCACTGAGATCCGTGTGTGTGTGTGGGGGGGGTTATTCTACTTTATTTGCCAATGTATGTTTTACAATTTTTAGGTAATTTGTCCTAGATGAAAGTACTAATATTTTCCATGTTGTAGTGTCTGATTTGGATCTTACAAATTCCCCTGTGAAATATGCTGTGTAAAATTACATCTAGGATCTATTTGTGGCTCTAAACTCTAAAGATTATTTACATTGTCAGTTGATTTCTGTCTTTTTTTTTTTTTTTCCTGATCTGGGGATTGAACATACAGCCTTGCATATATTAGGTAAACACTGTACCCTAAACAACAACCATTCATCCTTTGATTTCGGTGTGTTCATTTTTGTTTTTAGAATTGGTGTTTATGTACACATGGGGGTACTTCTGTGTATTCATGTTGAGTATTCCTCTTTTACTTTCCACTTGACATTTTTTATATTTTGCCTTTCTGTTGTGTGTGCGTGTGCACGTGCTCAAGTGAGTGCATGTGCATGTATAGACAGGCTGTTTTGGAATGCGTGTGGAAGTTGGAAGTTAATGTAGTAAATCATCTTGAATGTTCTTCTTTCTTCCACCTTGTTTATTGAAGCAGGGTCTCTCATTTTAACCTGGAGCTCACCAGTTTGGCTAGTTACTAGCCAACTTGTGGAGATCTCCTGTCCTAACCTGAAGAGATGGAATCACAGGTGGTTGGCCACATTCAGCCTGGGATTTAAGTGTGTTCTGGGACTCTAAAGTCCAACCCTTATTCTTGCAAAGCAGGCACCGTACCCACTGAGCCATCTTCTCACCCCACATTAGTTTTGAGACAAGTTCTCTCACTGGACCTGAAGCTCACTGCTAAGCTAGGCTGACTGGTGAGCCAGTGAGCTTTGGGGATTCACTTGCCTTTTGCTTCAGAGTGCTTGAGTGATAAACATACTCAGTGGTTCCTGGCTGTTATATGGGTGCTAGGGAATATGAACTCAGGTCCTCTTTCTCAGCAAGGGTTCTTAACCCCTTGAGCCACCGCTCCAGCTTGTGTGTGTGTGTGTGTGTGTGTGTGTGTGTGTGTGTGTGTGTGTGTGTGCGTGCGCGCGCATTGAAAAGTAGCTAGGTTCCATAAGAATTCATTTGCATGTTTATATATTAAACCTTATCAAAATAACTGTTATTGGGTGATAAACTCTTTGTTCAAGACTACTAATTTATTTTCTTATTTTTATGTTTAGTTCTATTGTTTCAACACTGTTAGCTCTTATGGATGGTTTGGACAGCAGAGGAGAAATTGTGGTCATTGGAGCTACCAACAGACTAGATTCCATAGACCCTGCTTTACGAAGACCTGGTCGATTTGACAGAGAATTCCTTTTTAGTCTACCTGATAAAGATGTAAGAAAAAATTAAGTACAGTTTATTTTTTTAAACAATTTGGTACAATTATATCCCTTTAATGGCGGGCGTTGGGAAGTAGGCAGGAAGTGTTTGTACAGTAGTTTAGGTATAAAGGTCAGAAAACAACTTGGAGTCGGTTTTCTCCCCATGCCATGTGGTTCCGGTGGGTAGGACTCAGCTCATCACAACCGCCTTCATCTGCTGAGCTGTTTTCCACTCCAGTAACAAGTTCTGATGCAATAAAAACTTGAAGGCTTTGGTATTGTATCATGACTGTTCAAAAGAAGTCAATAGATAATTGATTATCTTTAAGTATATCTCCTCCCCAACTGTTCTTAAAATTGTTTTAAATAGCGGGCGTTGGTGGCGCACGCCTTTAATCCCAGCTCTCAGGAGGCAGAGGCAGGCAGATCTCTGAGTTCGAGGCCAGCCTGGTCTACAGAGTGAGTTCCAGGACAGCCTCCAAAACAATACAGAGAAACCCTGTCTCAGAAAAACAGACAAAAAAATTTGTTTTAAATTAAACAGATCCTTGAGTTGTTGTCAGTTACATTTTAGTAGCTTAATGAGTCCTTAGCCAGTTCCTAAGCTTTGACTTCTTCCTGAACACCACTGTACTGCAATAGTTAGGCTAAAGCCACTGAATACTTTTGAGAGGCATGTGATAGAATAGGAGTAGAGCTGGCTGGAGTGACAACTCAGGGCTAACGGGTTAAGAGTGCTAGCTTACATCTTTGTCAGAAGACCCAAGCTAAGTCCCCACCCCCCACATCAGGTAGCTGGGGACTACCTGTAGCTCCAGTTGGGGAATCCAACACCCTCTTCTTGAAGCCAAAAGCCAAAAAAAATGTATATTCTTAACAGACTGAGGAGAACTGTCAGTACTCCTAATTCCTAATGTACTCCAGAATGAACAATATTTTATTTATTTATTTATTTATTTATTTATTTATTTATTTATTCGTTGTTTTTTCGAGGCAGGGTTTCTCTGTATTGTTTTGGAGGCTGTCCTGGAACTCACTCTGTAGACCAGGCTGGTCTCGAACTCACAGAGATCTGCCTGCCTCTGCCTCCCGAGTACTGGGATTAAAGGCGTGCGCCACCAACGCCCTGCTCAATATTTAATTTTTAAAGATCATTTATTACATATACAATGTTCTGCCTGACTGTACACCTGTAGACCAGAAGAGGGAGCAGATCTCCTTCAAGGTGGTTGTGAGCCACCATGTGGTTGCTGGGAATTGAACTCAGGTCCCCTGGAAGAGCAAGCAGTGCTCTTAACCTCTGAGCCATCTCTCCAGCCCCAACTTTAATTTTTAAATTTATATGAATGATGGATATGAATAAGTTGGGCACATTAAATGCAAATTTACCTAATTTTGTTAAATGCTTACAGGTGCTTTTTTCTCCCCTCATATTTCTGTTTATATTAAGTTTTGATTATTTTAAAATTTTAGATCATCAAAAGTAGTTTAAATTGGAGCATTTCTAATTGGAGTAACTTGATTGGTTATAGATGTAAAAAGTTAAAATTGAAGTTTGCCCCCCCCCCCCAAACAGGCTCGAAAAGAGATTCTGAAGATTCATACAAGAGATTGGAATCCAAAACCACTGGACATATTCCTAGAAGAACTAGCAGAGAGCTGCGTTGGTAAGCACTGTTTTGAGCACATGTGAAAAATACTGTGTTCATTTCAAGGATGGAACAAGTTGGGTTTTGCTTTAAAGTTTAGATTTAAAAGGATGGTGAGATGGCCTAGTAGAAACAAGTTACTTGCAGTTCAATCGCTGGAACACAGAGAAGGTGGGGGGAATGACTCGGCTCTACGCAGTTACCCTGTGACTTCTCTCTCCATCCCCATATTCACACACCAAAGCAGCAGGTGCTGCGGCACACATATGCAGAGCTAGTAGCAGGGATGAGACAGATGGCACGTTTATGGCCATCCTTGACTGCACAGGAAGGAAGAGTTGATCTGAAAAGGGAGCATGGCTCATTTGTGTTCATATCCTTTGTGGCATGTGTTAGCCTCCAAGATCCTAGATTGTCACAAGTACACACTGCCCTTTCAGAGGTGCCTAGTCCTGTTTCCAGAACCTAACTCGGGTGGCTCACAGCTCTCTGTAGCCCCAGCTCCGAGCAATCTAACGTCCCTTTCTGCACTCATATGCACATACCTTCACATAATCATGCACATAATTAAAATAAGTCTTCTTATAGTGGGCAAGCTGATGATTGGAGGAATCTTAGAGCAGATTAGACAAAAATAGTGACAGCCTGGGAGTGAAGAGATGGCTCAGTGGTTAAGATCACTGGCTGATCTCCTAGAGGTCCTGAGTTCAATTCCCAGCACCCACATGGTGGCCCACAACCATCTGTGATGAGATCTGGTGCCCTCTTCTGGCTTGCAGGGATACATGCAGACAGAACTTGTGCACATAATAAATCTTTAAAAAAAAAAAACAAAGAAAATAGTGATATCCCTGTGAATTAGACAGTTATCATTTGACAGACAAAGGATCCTCTACAGACTGTTAGTGAGCCTTGAAAGGTGACATAGCAAATGACAAACTGGAGCTTGAGTTTCATCTGATTTTGGCCAGATATGTGGGCACACACACACCTTTAATGCCAGCACTCAAGAGGCAGAGGCGAGTGGATCTCTTGAGTTTAAGGCCAAGTTGGTCTACACGGAGAGTTCCAGAACTTCGGTGATACCAGTCTCAATCAAACACAACACAGTTCTTGCTCTCACCCTACCCTGTAGTCAGTGCTCACGTGTCTCCTTCACCAGCCACTGATGGGCTGCAGCCATCTAAGTGCGCTGTAGAAAAATTTAGTGTGTCACTTGTCAGTGTTTTACTAAAACGGGTTAATTTTACATGTTTCTTGAGGGTTTTGCTTTTTTCCCCTTGCTTGATTGGGATAGGATACTGTGGTGCAGACATTAAGTCAGTATGTGCTGAAGCTGCTTTGTGTGCCCTACGTCGACGATACCCACAGATCTACACCACCAGTGAGAAGCTGCAGCTGGATCTCTCTTCAATTACTATCTCAGCTAAGGACTTTGAGACTGCTATGCAGAAGATAATACCAGCTTCCCAGAGAGCTGTGATATCCCCTGGACAGGCACTGTCTGCCATTGTGAAGCCACTCCTGCAAAATACTGTTCATAGGATCTTAGAAGCCTTACAGAAAGTATTTCCACATGCGGAAGTTGGAACAAGCAAAACTTTAAATTCAGGTATAAAATTTAATTGACCATTGAAAGAAAGAGTGACAAAGAAAAATTACTAATGGACAGGTTTATTATTATTTTTTTAGATGTTTCTTGCCCTTTGCTAGAAAGTGATTTGGCATACAGTGATGATGATATACCATCGATGTATGAAAATGGACTTTCTGAAAAACCCTATAATCAGGCAAAAGAAAATTTAAATTTCCTTCATTTAAATAGGTATGTTTTCCTTGCAAATGAATGTTTGTGTAAATGCCATAAAAAAATAAAGTGAAATTTGTTTGACAAGGTAAAAGATGCTAGCCAATAATCAGCTCTTTACTTAAAATAGCAGGGCTGGCAAGAGGGCTCACTTGGTTAAGTGCTTGCTGAGGGTGGTGGTGTATCCTTGTAATTCCAGTACTGGGAAGCCAGGAACCCTGGGCCTTATGAATCACCCAGGCTAACCTAATTAATTGGTGAGCTCCAGACCAGTGAGACCCAGTCCCAGTGGAGGTAGTCAGTACTCCCGAGGAAGACACCTGAGGGTGTCCTCTGGCCTGTGCCACACACATGCACACACATTAAGGAATATCAAAGTTTGGGTATGAAGAAATGGCTCCGCAGGCCAGGTGGTGGTAGCTCGCGCCATTAATCCCAGTGCTCGGGAGGCAAAGGCAGGCGGATCTCTGTGAGTTCGAGTCCAGCCTGGTCTACAAGAGCGAGTTCCAGGACAACCTCCAAAGAAACCCTGACTGGAAAAAAAAGAGAGACAGATGTCTCAGTGGTTAAGAGCCCTGTCTGCTCTTCCAGAGGACCTGGGGTCATTTCCCGGCTCCCACATGGCAGCTCACAGCCATCTGTAACTCTGGCCTCCTAGGCACTGATGCATGTGATGCAAACATGCACTCAGCACTCAAACACTTAGGTTTTTTAGTAACAAGTTTTGACCGGCGGTGGTGGCACACTCCCATCCTGTGCTTGGGAGACAGGGGCAGGTGGATCTCTTATGAGTTTGAGGCCAGCCTACTTTGCATTATCGAGTTCCAGGACAGCCAGAGCTACGTAGTGAAACCCTGTCTTAAAAAAGAAGAAAAAAGTTCAAAATGTTGTTGCAGCTGTCATTATGATGCAAAAGTTTTCTTAGATCTGGAACAGTCATTGTGAGAAACTATGCCATCTTATAATTGGCTAGTCAAATGGGCAAGTTTTCTGAAGATTTGTAATTGGCAATTTAAGGGAAACATTTGAATTTTCCCTAAAAATACAGCTTATTAATTTTTTTCAGAAATGCCTGTTACCAACCTATGTCTTTTCGACCAAGATTACTAATAGTGGGAGAACCAGGGTTTGGACAGAGCTCTCACTTGGCACCAGCTGTGATCCATGCTTTGGAAAAGTTTACTGTGTATACATTAGACATTCCTGTTCTTTTCGGCATCAGTACTACATCTCCTGAAGAAACATGTTCCCAGGTAAGTTGTTTTCAGAGACCAGTTTAAGAGTTGACTCCGGTTGTTTGAATTTGAACTTTAAAAACAAATTGACTTAAAGCTTACAAAATAGAACTGCAAAATTGCTTAGTTATTAAGTAATATTATGCTATTATTTCTCACATCTGCCACTTAATACCTGTATGACCTTGGATGAGTTATTAGATCTCTACTTCATTTTTTTCTTATTTGCAAGGAATGAGATAGTAAATTTGGCTATTGTGAGAATTGAAGTTCTTAAGACAGTGACTGTAACTTAGGTTACAAATATTCTGTTGTTTCTCTTATGTTTAGATTTAATTGATGAAGATAAAACTATTTTATAAATACATACTTGCTTAGCCTTGGTTATACAGCAGAATAGTCTTGTAGTTTTCTTGGCCTGTTTCCTAGTTGCTTGAATAAATTGTTTTTGCCCAAGTGAAGCTTTTATTAAACACTTTAAAAGAGTTGTGAGGGGTTTTTTGAAAGAAGCACTTAAGAAATCTGAAGGTTTTATGTGAATAATCTGGGAAGTTATGGCGCTAGTATTACTAATGTGCTGACTCTGAAACCAAATATAATTTAATTTTTTTATTAGATGATTCGTGAAGCTAAGAGAACAGCACCCAGCATAGTCTATATCGCGCATGTCCACTTGTGGTGGGAAATAGTTGGACCAACACTCAAAGCCACATTTATGACCTTGTTACAGAACATACCTTCATTTGCTCCCGTTTTACTGCTTGCAACTTCTGACAGACCGTATTCAGCTCTGCCTGAGGAGGTAACTTTGTGGGGAGATTTGCTAGTCTTTAAGTTTTCTTATACCAAAGTAAAAACATTATAAAATTTCAAGTGCTCCTAAAACAAAACAATAGGAGTATTTTATCAGATAACGCCATTATTAATGGTTTGTGTTGTGCTCACTGTTTACAGTGGGCACATCTGGTAAGGGGATACATATTTTTTCTTTTATAGAAATGGTGTTGCATGACCAACTGGTCTGCTATATTTACCTTTCAATGTTTTTTGTTTTGTTTAGTTTGTTGTTTTTGTTTTTCAAGATGGTATCTCTGCATAGTACTGGCAGGCCTGGAACTAGCTCTGTAGACCAGGCCAGTCTGAAACTCACAGATTGACCTGCCTCTCCCTTCCAAGTGTTGGGATTAAAGGCATGCTCCTAGACTACTGGCCTTCTGTGTATCTTCTGAATTAATCAATATTTAATGTCTGTGTCTTCCTTTATGACTTTCATGATCTTTTCATTATCTTGTAACAAGTTGTCTAAATCCCTGTGACAGATATTTTGATTGTTTCCATCTTTTTTTGAGACAATGTCTTCCTTTGTGGTCCTGGATGTCCTGGAACTCACTATGTCGACCAGACTGGTCTTGAACTCAGAATCTGCTTGTTTCTACTGCCTCTTGGTGAGAAGCATTAACGATAATGAGATTATGCCAGGCGGTAGTGGAGCACACCTTTAATCTCAGCGCTGGGGAGGCAGTGGCAAGTATATATCTGAGTTCAAGGCCAGCCTGGTCTACAGAGCAAGTTCCAGGACTGTTATATAGAAAAACCGTATGTTGGAAAACCAGAATTTAAAAACAAAAAGTAAGATATGAATTTTGGTTTTTCTCTGGGGGATGGGGGTGCCAGGCATCAAAGAGTGCCTAGTATATGCTAACCACAATCTCTACCACTGAACTAAAGTTCATATATTTATACAACGTATATTGATCATATCATCTATTACCACCTAGCTCATCCACCTCTCAATTTCATGACTTTTTAAAAATTTGCTAATAACCCTTTGAGTCTAATTACTGCTCTTCATGTATATGTGGGTATGTGACCATTCACTAGAGCCTGAACATTTTCTCAGAAGATGATGAACCTCCCTCAACAGCCATCAACTGTCAATAGCTTGTCCCTTGGAAGGGCCAGCCTCCCCTATTCATTCTGGAATGTTTTTGTCTCTGTTTTTCAGTTTTCTAAGACAGTGTTTCTCTGTGTAACAGCCCTAGCTGTCCTGTAACTCACTCTGTAGACCAGGCTGGCCTCGAACTCACAGAGATCCACCTGCCTCTGCCTCCCAAGTGCCCGGATGAAAGGTGTCCACTTCCACCACCCTGCTGATTCTTGAATTCTAAAGATGATCTGATGCTTAGTTACTAATCCAGCACGTGGGTCCATGATTACTTCTATACGCATGGGTACTCTGCCTGCTTGCATGTCTGTGTGCCTCACGTGTGCAGTGCCTGTAGAGGCCAGAAGAGGGCGCCGATCCCCTGGAACTGGAGTTGCAGGTGGCTGTAGCTGCCATGGGAGTGCTGGGATCGCACGTGGGTCCTCAGGAGGAGCTGCAAGTGCTCTTCACCACTCCAGCATCTCCCGGCCGCTATATTTTAACAAAGACTTTAAATTTTTACTAGATATGTGTGCTTAACACACTGTTGGACTAAGAACAGTAATGTGCAATGTGTTTACATGTATGTATATTCTGTATATGTTACACTTACATGTTTTTTTTTTTTAAGGTACAAGAATTGTTTGCCCATGATTATGGAGAGATTTTTAATGTCCAGTTACCAGGTAAAGAAGAACGGACCAAATTTTTTGAAGACCTAATTTTAAAACAAGCTACGAAGCCTCCTGTGTCAAAAAAGAAAGCAGGTTAGTTATCTCAGTTAATAGAGAATACTTTTAAGAAAATGGAACTAAATAACAGCTAATTTAATTGATATCTACCTGACAGCACAAACTCAAACCCTCAGTCATAAGATGACATGTTTGCTATTAAAATACTTGTGCTTCCTGCTAAAATGTTGTTCAGGCACATAAGGTGTTTTGTAGAATAGCCCCAGCCTGTTGTTCCAGGCTCATTTTTAGAACTATGTTTTCACTTTTCAAGATCTATTTTTAATTGTGTGGAGGTTTGCACGAGTGAGAGCTGGTGCCGGTGAAGGCCAGAATAGGGTGGTTGAATCCCTGGAGCTGGAGTTTGAAGCAGTTGTGAGCAGCCTGATTTAAGTTCTGGGAACTGAGCTCCGGTCCTCTGTAAGATCAGAGTGTGGTCTTAACCACTGAGCCACCTCTCTAGCTCTAGGGCAGTGTTCTAACCTGTACTGCCTCTTTCTGTTTTTAAAAAAACAAAAAGCTGTCTTTAAAATACACACAGCATCACAGTTTCACTTTTGGTTCGTATAAAGCTTCTATCTTTACCCGTAACTCTTTGCTGCTTAAAGAGCTACCTAACTTGGGACTAGAGTTACGGACGTCAGTGCTAGGAACAAACCCAGGTTCTCTGCAGGATCAATAGACACTGTTAACTGCTAAGCTCTGTAGAGAGGGCTCCCCTCGTTTCTTCTTTCTCTTTTTTGGTTTTTCAAGAGAGGGTTTGTCTGTAGCCTTGGCTGTCCTGGAACTCACTTTATTGACCAGGCTGGCCTCAGACTCATAGAGATCCGCCTGCCTCTGCCTCCTGAGGGCTGGGATTAAAGGTGTGTGCCAACACTACTAGGCTTAAATAAATTTTTACCTGCTTATTGTGTGTGTGCACGCACAGGCCAGAGACAGCATGCAGAAATCACTCCCAGGACTCAGGTCATGGTGTTTGATGGCAGGCACCTTTACCCACTAAGCCACCTCGTTTCTTCTTTTAACCCTGAGTATTCATTGCCTTGTTTTCTTAGAAGAACTTCAAATTTGGTGTATTTGGAGCATTACTTTTTTTTCATTAGCCCACAAAGTAAAAACTTTTAATCGTTAAAATATTCTTGTTTTAGAAATAATGTATTTTCAAAGTTTGCAAATTACTTTTGTTTCTGGAATGTATGTAGGGATAGAGATTATATTATGGCAGTATTTTTCTAAATTCTTGGTTTCCTTTCAGTTGTAAAGAAACTAAGCCCTCAAGTCTTATTGTGTTTACGTTGAGTCGTTTGTTGCCCTCGTTTGTGGAGGGCGTTAACTAAACTCCTCCATCCTCCATCCGTGAAGTTTTGCAGGCCTTGGAGGTCCTCCCAGTAGCGCCGCCGCCTGAACCAAGACCGCTCACAGCAGAGGAAGTCAGACAGCTGGAAGAACAGGAAGAAGATACATTTAGAGAACTCCGAATCTTCTTGAGAAATGTCACGCATAGGCTTGCTATTGATAAGCGGTTCCGAGTCTTCACCAAGCCTGTTGACCCTGTTGAGGTATTACTAATCTCCTCTTTGGATGAAATATGTTTAAACCAAAATGATAGAAAAGCAGGAAGTTTGAATAGTTCATGTAGGTGTCCTGCTGAACTCTGAACTTGGTTTCTCTATATAAACACGTGAACTTAGTGCCCTAAACATGTATAGACTTCAACAGCTATCTAATATATTTCCTTTGTTGCAGAGAATAAACAGCTTTTCTTTCCATCTAGACAAAAGGAATTTGAGAATGTTTTAATTCCACATGGTATTACCATTATTTATAGAATCAAAATTAAGCTTAGAGGTAGGTTTTTTGGTTTTTGAAACAAGGACTTACTGTTCAGTCCAGTTTGGCCTGGAACTTACCGTGTACTCTAGACTACATGGAACTCCTTCTATCTTAACGTCCTAAATATTGGGGTTACAGACTTGTATTTGCAGTCCTTTTGAAAGTTAACACTGAAGGATGGGTGGCAGTTGCATGAGGAAAGAAATAGTGGGTATTACTGGAGAATATAACAGACAAACAATAGGAGTAAATATAAAGCAGAAATAGATTAAAATACAATGAAAGTATTTATATAGATGTAGTATCCTTATGCTGTTTCCTCTATATTGCCTTTGCAGAAAAACTTAATTTTTTCTGTATATATATAATTTATCAAGTGATTTGGTCATTTGCTTGAATTTTAGGTTCCTGATTATGTCACTGTAATAAAGCAGCCAATGGACCTTTCATCTGTAATCAGTAAAATTGACTTACATAAGTATCTGACTGTGAAAGACTATCTGAGGGATATTGATCTAATCTGTAGCAATGCTTTAGAATACAACCCAGATAGAGATCCTGGAGGTGAGCATCAGTGAATTCCTGTTCAGGGGTGGTGTGGGTGAGGGTTGATGGTTGGCATTACATTAAAATACCATGTAATTCTCACAATAGCTTCATCCCATTCTCCAGCTAAAAACGGGATAGTTTAGGGAGATCACAACTTTTACTTGGGGCCACAGTGCCAGGAAAGGACAAGGGCAGAATTTGCATGTGTGTTTTTTCACTCCAATCCCCAAATATTAGCCACATAACATAGCTTTTATGCAGTGATTTTACCAACCTTTACTACAGTTCCTCATGTTGTGGTGATTCCCCAACCATAAAATCATTTCATTGCTTCTTCTTAACTGTAATTGTAATGCAAATATTTGATATATAGGATATTTGATGTGCAACCTCGGTGGGGTCGTGACCCCTCACCTACTCTAATGCAACAGAGTAGCTTGTTTATGTTTTCTGAAAGTAGAATGAATTTCAAAATATTCCCCCTGCTTTTTAAAAGTTTTTAAGAAGTGTTTTATTTATTCTTATTTTTATGTACATTGGTGTTTTGCCTGCGTGTATACCTGTCTGAGAGTGTCAGATCCCCTGGAACTGGAGTTGCTGATAGTTATGGGTTGCCATGTAGGTCCTGGGAGTTGAACCTGGGGCCTCTGAAGAGCAGCCAGTGCTCTTAACCATCTCTTGAGCCCCTCAAAGTGTTCTTTTAATTAAAACATACTTTTTTTTTCCTTGCTGTTTTGAGACAGCCCTGACTGGACTCTAAAGTTAGGGTAATCCTGTCTCTGCCTCTCAAGTGCTCGATTACAAGCATGTGCCATTACACCTGAACACATTTTTATTACATAAGTACTAGAGTATAATACTTGCCTAATATTAAAAGTGCATCCAAAGATGGGTGTGTGTAGAGTTCATTGGGCTCTCATTAGACCTCTAAAAAGTGGCACTTATAAATTAGAATGATTTGTGTGGGGAACTGTTAAAAGTTCCTTTGGGATTTGTTTGTTTGCGACAGGGTCTCACGGTGTAGCCTTTGCTGGCCTAAACCTCAGAGATCTGCCTCCCTCTGCTTCCCCGATGTTGGGAATGAAGAATGCCGGCCTTCTGTTAATATTAATAAGGTGTAGCTCAGGCTGACCTTGACCTAACTGTAGTTAAGAGTGACGATGAGCTCCTGCCCCTCCTGCTTCCCCCTTTCAGTCTCCTATGCTGGCCCTAAGGTTCACTGGACGGGTTCCTTAAAACAGTTGCATGCATTCTGAGCTATATCCCTGCCTTTTCTGATATCTTATGGGGATCTTCGCAGAGCACAGCAATAAAACTCTTTGGGTACAGTCTGTTATATTGAATCAGATAGCAAAGCATTGGGTCATCACCCAACCAGGAGACAAAAGTTGTAGTAAATCTACTCTTCGTATGAAGTTAGGGAATGTAATGACTTCTGTCTTTACCAAAACTGTTAAGTTCACTTTTGGGAAGATGAAGAATTGTGTTTCCTTACTTCTCAGATCGTCTTATTAGGCATAGAGCCTGTGCTTTAAGGGACACTGCCTATGCAATAATTAAAGAAGAGCTTGATGAAGACTTTGAGCAGCTTTGTGAAGAAATTCAGGAATCTAGGAAGAAGAGAGGTAGGGACACACCTGGGCATCTGAAGATGGTGCTTTAGATAAACCTTTCATTCTCTGTATGATTTTGAGTTCTGGAAATAATTTTCAAATCCTGTCTGTCTATTTATAAGGTTGTAGCTCCTCCAAATATGCACCATCTTATTACCATGTCATGCCAAAGCAAAATTCTACTCCTGCTGGTGATAAAAGGTCAGCTCAAGAGCCCAGTGAGAAGCCAAAGGCACCTTGTACTCCTGTGGCCTGTAGTACCCCTGGTAAGTACTCTGGAGTAGTCTTCGTTTGTGAGGCCCTTCTGTCCTGTCCCGTGTCCTACAGTAAACTGCATCTGTTTCACGGCTATTCAAGCAGCTAAACTGTTAAATGACCGGCTCCTTCTCTTTCCACATACATCTTGGTGAATACAGTCAGTTGAGCGGCAAAGCCTTGGCATTGTGCTGAAGTTCTGCCTCCTTTTACCACCCCAGCACTCGGCTGTCTTCCAGGTTCTATTCAATCTATTCCCGTAATAGTCTGTGCTCTCCCTTCATAATTTCTGCTAAGCTTCACCTCTTCCCAAGACATTGAAGCATGGTTTTACTGTATCCTTAGACAGGCTATTCAGGTTTTCTTTGTTCTCTAGTTTCTTCCACTGTAAAGTGAAGGCGCCAATGGTAGCAAACCTCATCAGTTTAAAAGTGAAATTCCAATGAATTAGTATGCATGCTGCCATGCTTAAAAATATGGGCAGTATATCTTAGCAATATGAGTGCAGATTATTGTAACTCTTGCCTTTCAGTTTTTCAGTTTATATCACATTGCTGCTCAGCTGTTTGTTTAGTTGGGATTTTTTGAGACAGGGTTTCTCTGTGTATCTCTGACTGGCCTGGAACTCGCACTGCCTCTGCTGAGATTCAAGGCACGTACCACCACCACCTGGCCACGTCTCCATCTTGTCATGGTACCTTACCCTAACCCTAACCCGTGTATTCCAACCATGTGAAAGTACTGTGGTTTCTTGACTTCTTTTTTCCTCTTTTTAAACTCTTCCTTAGATATTCTTTTTTTTCTTTTGTTAAATTTCTTAAAGCTCAGTTGAAGAGGAAAGTTCATAATAAGTCAAAGTGGCATGTAGGTAACAAACTAAAGCGAAGGAAACTTTCACAATCCAAAGACAATAGCCAAACTGCTATGAATAATCAAACCAGGAGTAGTGATACAGAGGAAAGTCAGCATACAAGTGCAGATCACAATGAGCTCGGAAATACGGGAGAGTCTTCAGTGGAAGAAAATGAGAAGCAGAACGTCTCCGAAAGCAACACAGACCTGAAAAATACCTCGAGTACCTCCAGTATTGAGAATGGACCTGAAGAATCTACTCAAACTACAGAGTGTACAGACTTGAGAAAAGAGAAAACTGATTGCAATGGGAATGCTTCTAGCTCCCAGGTCATAGACATTCCTGGGGAAAATGAATCAAAAGGTAAGTAAAGCAGTCATTATATACCAGGTCAGAGCACCAGTGCTAACTAGGTAGAAAAATGACATTGTCAGCTAGTAGACTAAAACGTGTGTGTGTGTGTGTGTGTGTGTGTGTGTGTGTGTGTGTGTGTGTGTGTGTTAGTGTGTGTGTGTGTTATTAAAGTGAGTGCAAACTACTGCACAAGAGAATGGCAAAGGGGGCCATGAGGAAAGAGGGGAGCCAAGGTACACGCATGTTTTCTTGCCAGCCGTGTGCCGCAAAAGGAGTGCAAACCGAGTCAATGCTCGTTCCTGAAAAAACGCGGTTCAAATGCGAGATTGGGGGCTGGAGACGGCTCAGCGGTTACGAGCACTGACTGCTCTTCCAGAGGTCCTGAGTTCAATTCCTGGCAACCACATGGTGGCTCACAGCCACCTTGAATGAGGTCTGGTGCCCTCTGCTGGCATGCAGGCAGAAGAATATATATGCAATAAATAAAATATTTTAAAAATAGAGAGAGAGAGAGAGAGAGAGAGAGAGAGAGAGAGAGAGAGAGAGAGAGAGAGAGAGAGAGAGAGAGAGAGAGATTGTAACACTGTACCGAGTTTACTATCAACTTCTTTAGTAATCTGTATCCTATTCACTGTTAAGAGAAAGCAGTATCTTCCCACCAGTTTCAAGGTACTTGTTGCAGAATACCCTAAGTATTCAATTGGAGGAATACTTGTTATCTTTTGGTTGTGGTGGGGTTTTATTTGTTTACTTTGAGACAACGTTTTACTAAGTAGCTTCAGCTGGTCTAGAACTCATTATGTAACCAGGATGCTTTTAAAGATCCTTCTGCCTCTGCCTCCTGAGTACTTGGAATTAAAGGCAAGCATTACCACGCCTAGCTAAATATTTCTTACGCTGTGTGGCATTTTTTTATAATGTAAATGGCATGTCATAATCTTATAACCAAAAGATTAACCCAGAATCAGTGTTTGTGTCCTAAGTACATATTCTGTTATTAATCTAGTTATTATTTGCCTTAGGCATTATGTTTGTGAACCGAACAATAATAGCTTGATTTTTCACTTTAGAAATGTGTATTCTGCGAATGACTCGAGCTAGACGTTCCCAGGTAGAGCAGCAGCAGCTCATCAGTGTGGAGAAGGCCCTGGCGATTCTCTCTCAGCCTACACCCTCACTTGTTGTGGACCATAAGCGCTTAAAAGTATGTCAGACTGAAATCAGTGCTCCCTAGGCATGTTGTCTTCCTTACACCGATTGCAGACTAATAGTAGATTAGCTGCATACAGACTCCTCTTAGCTTTCTTGTCCTTGGGCTGGAGAGCTGGGTCAGAGGTTAAGAGCGCTGGCTGCTCTAAGGACCCAGCAGCACCCATAGGGCCACTTAACAAAAGCCTTTAACTTGAGTCTGATGGGATCCCGGGGCCTCTGGGCTCAGGCCTGCACATAGCACAGATTTTAGATTTCCTAAAAATGTCTGGAGACACTTCTGTATAAAGCTGAAATTAGCAACTTATGCGTCGTCTTTGGGTTAATAAGAGTTACCCAGGACCAAGGCTGGTGTCACAGAATAAAAGAAATCTAAAAGAGCCATTGCTAGAAGCTGCCGTGTCTCAGCTGTGGCTTAGTCTGCCTATGTGCTGCCTTCAGCCAAGCAATCAGAGTTTTAAAGATCTTGTTGCAAGGAATTAATCTAGCACACATAAATACTTGTTTTCTTTTAGAATCTTTTGGAGACTGTTGTTAAAAAGAGTCAGAAATATAATATATTCCAACTGGAAAACTTGTATGCAGTAATCAGCCAGTGCATTTATGAGCATCGCAGGGACTATGACAAAACAGCTCTTATTCAGGTAAAGTTTTGACTTAGAACTATTTTTGTTGTTTATTTTGGGACAGAGTCTCTATTTAACACTGATTGTCTGGAACTCACTCTGTAGACCAGTCTGGTCTCCAACTCACAGATCTACCTGCCTCTGCTTCCCCCATGCTGGGATTAAAGGAGTGTGCCTGGCTAATTTTAAACATTTTATGCTCCTTTTACCATACAATATCGCCATTTAAAATGGCTGAAACCCTGAACTTGTAAAAATGTGAAGACCACCCAAGGTGCGGTGGCACACCAGGAATACAGAAGGGTCAGAGTGAAAGGTCTTCTGCTATATAGCATGTTCAAGGCTAGCCTGTCTACAAAAAGCTGAAAACCAAAGACCACTCTCACATGAAGATGATGGGTTCACAAGCTCGGTGTACCATAAGTCTTTATAATGAGCGTGGCTGCATAGTGTCAATAAAACTGAAAAATATTTCGTATGTTTTAATGTAGACATGTGACTTCTACAATGCTCTTCCCCTAAGGTAGATTTGAGGAGTGGGTATGGTGATGTAGTCTGTAATCCAGATTTGGGCAGCTGAAGCACAGGAGGCACAGGTTTAATCCAGTCTGGTGACATAGTGAGACCTTTCTCAGAGACAACAAAGACAACCTACTTGTCTTTACTTGATCTTCATAGATTGTATAGGAATATTAATTTTTAAAGTACATGCTACTTATGTTACCAGTCACCTATAAAATATAAAATGTTAACTTGCCATGTACCCATCTAGTATATGGGGAGGGTGTGTGTATATTTCTAGGGTACTTATATTTTAAATGATATTATGTTTTTATCTTTTTTAAATATTGAAACTTAACTATTTTTCTTTCTTGCCTTTTACATAGAAAATGGAGCAAGCAGTAGAAAACTTCAATTGTTCCAGATCATGATGTCATTGCACCAAGTATTTTTATATTGAATTCCTATTAATTGTCTTCAGATATGTCCACAAAACTGATGCAAGATAAAATGAAATCTTGCAGCTTGAAGAAAAATTAAAATAGTGAAATTATTTTAATCCCCTGGTACTTAATGTACATGTGGTAAGATAAGTCTTGGATGTTTGTTGGAACAGAACACTGTAACAATAGTAATTGTTCAAGTTTGGCTAGATCTTAAAACTTTGGTAATTAATAATTTATTAATTATTGGATTTTTTGTTATTAGCTTAAGCACTTTTAATTTAACACTTCCTAGTAGGTTATCATACCAGACGAGAATTGTGTCTGTTGTATTTTTGCCATCTCTTGTGTTTGTTGTCCTTTAACGCCTTTCTTCCAACTGCCATAAGTCAAGTTGTGATTTGTAAGGGGGCCTAAAATACAATTCTGTACCTTATATAAAAATTAATGTTTTTAGATAAACATTTTTATAATTCTAATTTGGGATAATAAAGGTTTAAAAAGTTATTGTTTACTTTGTAATTAAATATACAACAAATAATAAGTGACTAGTTTTTGTATTTGACAACTGTTTATCTTTCTACCATTGTATCTAGGTTATATTCTATAAGTATTTTTATATGCATATATGACTATAAATACAAATTTTGTATTACTGATACCAAAAATACATTTCTTTCTTAAAGTTGAAACCATGTGTTTCTATACACTATTGGGAGGGACATGAAAGCCTTCACTTGCAGAACAGCATTGTTGGAAAGCTTGTTTGAGAGGAATAGAAGAAAATGGTAGCTAGCTGGGCCATGGTGGTGCATGCCTTTAATCCCAGCACTCGGGAGGCAGAGGCAGGCAGAACTCTGAATTCAAGGCCAGCCTGGCCTACAGAGTGAGTTCCATGACAGCCTCCAAAGCCACAGAGAAACCCTGTCTCAAAAACCAAAAAGAAAGAATGAAGGAGGGGAAAGAAAACGCTAACTGAAATGAGGCTGTGTTCGTTGGTGATGTAATGGTAGGGAAAGAACCCGGGCCCAGTACACTGAGCACATGCCTAACTCAAGAGTTTAGATTTTACTATAGTTTCATTATGTGGGTTTTTAAAGATTACTAAGATTCAATAATATGGATACCTTAATTATAGATGCTGCCTTATATACCTACCAAAAATGCCAAATACCAGTAACATTTGAACATGTGCATATTGCTAAAGGTGATGCTGTGCAAGTTGAGTGTAATTGTGTACATTTGTGATCTCAGCCCTGGAGGCAGAGGCAAAAAGATCAGGAGTTCAGGGTCATTCATTAGCTACATGGTAAGTTTGAGGCCAGCCCGGCTACTCAAGACTATCTCAAAAAAGCAAAAACCAAACCAAAAAAAAGGGTTATGTTTAATAGTTTTTATTGAAGTTTATTATAATTTATTTCAGATGTATCCTTTCATTGTGCTTCTTGTATAATAAATTTTAAAGTTGAAACCTTAGTTTGTTTTTAGTTTTCCTTTAGAAAACACTGTGTAAGTGTGAATTCATCATAACACGTGTGGAGGTGAGAGGACAGCTCTGTGGAGTCTGTCTTTCCTCCCACCTTTCCAGGAGTTCTAGGTCACACTAGGTTACTAGGCGTGTGGTAAGTGCTTTTATCTCCTGGGCCATCTTACTGCCCCTTCTTCAGTTTCTAAAAGCTGAGGAGACACAGGACGGCGTGGCTCTTCCTTACATAATCCCAGCCCATCAGGGCTAAAGGCAGGAGGATTACCAATCTGGTCTTCAATATTTTGGGACAACAAAGGCAACATGGGCATCAAATGGGTGGGTGAGTGGATGGAATAATGGATGGATGGATGGATGGATGGATGGATGGATGGATGGATGGATGGATGGATGGATGGATGGCTCAGTGTAAAACAAATACAGGTGCTCTTTCATATACTAGTGTATACATTAAGATGCTGTTTGCTTGCCGGATGCAGTGACTGTGGGCTTGGGTTGAGGCAGGAGGGTCCCTTGAACTGTAGTTTAAGACCAGCCTAATTACCATTGACATTCGAATGTTTATATGGTTACATTCATTTAGAAAGTAGAACACACTTTCTATGACAATAAATTTTGGAAGAGATAATTCTACATTCCTAAGTACACTTCAAAATCTATTACAAATCCCAGGTAGATTGTTAACTTTTTTTCTTGCTAAAAAGGTACCAGCTGTATTTAGAGCAATTACAGAAAAGAAAGTTAATTCGTTCAAATTTGAAAGGAAGAAAAAAAGACCCAGTTACAACTTACATAATCTCATTTAGGGAATCATAAGAAATTCAGAAGAAACTGGTAAAGAGAGCCATTGAGTGAATTAATCACTATAAGAAAAGGTAAAAATCAGCAGTTTGTATAAATTTCTAATAGGTTATCCAAAAGAGGCAGAAAGTAATTCAGCATGATCATTTTCCAGGACAAAGTAGCTGAGAATGAAAAAAGGGAAAGGTTTATTCTGGCTCACCATTTTGAAGGCTATAAGCAATGCTTAGTTGGCTTCATTGCTTTAAGGAAAGCTGCTCACCCTAGTTAGTCATGAAATGAAGCAAAAGCACCCCAGAAAGTGGTGTCCAGTCCGGTTCTGAGAGCAGCCACAGAGCTACACCAGAAAGCACTGTCCTGAGGAACATGCCTGGGAAAGGACAGACAAATCAGAGAGGAGTGACCGTGGCTGAAAGGCTGCTGATCTCAGGTTCACGTGAACACTGGGGACATCTGGGCTTCTGCCACTAACTGTGGGTGGCGTCAGTGAGTAGTCTCATGGTTCCCAGTCATCTCAAAATGCCCCTCCCCCACCTTAGTCCTAACCCCGAGGACCTAGAGTGGTCCAGTCTTCGTCCAGAAGAAAACCCTTATGGCCCGGGCACCAGGGAAGCCCAGCAACCACTGGGTCACTGGGAAGTGTGTCTTGAATACCCATGTGCTGAGGACAATTCTTGTCTCTGCTGTGCTCCCTGGTTTTGACTCTGTTTCTATAGTCTTACATTCTGTTGATTTTCTTGACGTCTATATATATCACTATATTGATTTATAATTGAAAGCTACAGCATATTAGTTCTATTGGTGAAATGCATGTGTGTGATATTTTGGTCATTCTGCAGCCTTTAGATTTCCCTAAGAATTTTAAGATCAGCATGTCAAATTTCTTCCCCCCAGAAAGGCCTGCTAAGAATATAGACGGCTGGGTTGATAACTCAATACGTAAAGTGCTTGACAGAAAAGCATGAATGGGGACCTGGCTTTGATCAGTTGATTTTTATCATAGTACTTTGTCATAGCCACAGAATTGAAGCCAGAACACTCCACTTCCTGCCCCAGCCCCTGGCCACTGCTATCTTATATGAATTTTAACTCCTGTACACACTATAATTGAAAGCGATAGCATATTTTACTTTAGAGTGATGTCCTAAGGGCTGGTTCGTATTACAGCCTGTCAGAATTCCCTCCTTTGAAAGGTAATATTCTGGTATGTAGCATATTTGCTGCACTCGGGAGGCAGAGGCAGGTGGATCTCTGAGTGCATGGCCAGCCTGATCTACAGAGAGCCACAGCTGTGGCTACACAGAGAAATGCTGTCTTGAAGGGAAAAAAAAAAGTTAGTGCTATTCTGCCATGTGAGTCGTGTGGATTGAATTCAGACTGTCAGGTTTGCCAGCAAGTGACCATCCTCTAAGCCATGTCACTGGCCCAAGTGTGTCAGTCTTAAGGCAACGCAAGATTAAAACTCATCCTTAAATACCTGGGCTACGTCTACATCTGTGTGTAAGTCCTGCCGAATGAACGGGTGAGTAAGTGTCTCTGAGATCCCACTTCCAGTTTTGCACAGATACCTAGAACTGCCACATCATATAGTACTCCTGTTGTCTGGGGGAGCCACCATGCTGTTCTCATAGTGGTCATGTCATTTTACATCCTCAAGCTGCACATGATTCCAGAACACATAACCCAGTTGCAGTTTCTGCCTGAAGTTGTGTCGTAACCTGGGTTCACATGTGATGCTAATTACTGTATTTTAGTGTATTGTCATAGGATGGTACCAGTGGTGAGCATGTGTGTGCGAGTTGCTAGCTGCCACCCCTGAACCCAGAAGGGCAAGAAGAGTCATTCCTGAAAGGTCGAAAGCAGAAAGCAACTGTGGCCCGGCCACCATCACAGAATCAGTCGCCAACACATAAGGGTTAGACCGTGCACAGAAAGCAAGGAGGGAATGAGAATAAACACCCTAACCTCACTCTGTGTCCTCTTGGTACTTCCCATAGCTCACCCAGAAGAAAATAAATAATAGACAAAGTGCACAGCTCCTCTGCAAGGAGGACTTACTTGTCAGACTTTTAACCGCCCATGGGAAGATGTGAACTGTCTCCCTGTGGGCTACATTTCCGCTGGTCCCATCATCAGTAATTCCGTATTTATTTTTTGAGGCATAGTTCCTATTTATTTTCTAACTGTATCTTGCCCCAACACAACATTGGAACCGTTGCCTCCAAAATTATACACTCCTCGAAGACCATGAGCAAAAGTGTACAATAAGTGTTGGTTAACTGAATTAATACTGACATCATACTAGCAGAATATTGAAGCAGTTTTGGTTGGAAATGATGGTAAAAGGAACTCGATTTGTAGACCAGGCTGGCCTCGATCGAACTCTGGGATCTTACTGCCTTTGCCTCCCAAGTGCTGGGATTAAAGATGTGCACCACCACTGCCCAGCTTTAAGCTCATTTTTTTAAAAAAGTGAGTCTCCAGATGAGAAGTATGTCTGAAGACTGTAAAATGAGAAAGGAGGTGAATTGAGTCTTCCGTTAGTTTCTCTGGAGGAATATTGCCTGCGTGCCTGCGTGTGAGTCAGTATATTTGAGTGTCCCTAGAGACGGAACCCTTGGAGCTGGAGGTGTTGGTGAGCTACCCAGTGTGGGTGCTGGGATTAAAACTCCAATCCTCACTGAATGTGCAGCAGGTGCTTTGAGCTGCTGAGCCATCTTCCCAGCCCTAAGAGGATGGTTTCGAGTCTCATGTTGCTGTTGTTGACTTGCAGAAGAAAGCATCACGATTGGAATGTGCAGGGCAGGTTTCAAAGTCCAGGCTGCTGCTGCTGCTGCTGCTGCTTTTTCTCTTCCTCCTTCCTTTTTTCCTTTTTCCCTCCTCCTTTGATTTTTTTTATGTACATAGGCGTTTTGCCTGCATGGGCTGGGTGGCGGCAGGGAAGATAATGACAGAGTAAAATAAGACAAGATGCAGCCGGGCAGTGGTGGCGCACGCTTTTAATCCCAGCACTCGGGAGGCAGAGGCAGGCAGATCTCTGTGAGTTCGAGGCCAGGCTCCAAAACAATACAGAGAAAGGCTGTCTCGTAAAAACCAAATACTAATAATAATAATAATAAGACAAGACACATGGAGGGGCGGGAGAGAGTGGGGAGACGGCTCAGTGGTCAGAGTGCTTGCTGCTGTTGTACAGGACCCTTGGAGGCCAGAAGAGGTGGTTGGATGTGGGTATTGGAAACTGAGCCTGGGTCCTCCATTCTCTTCCTCCTGGCTGGCTCAGGTCATAGGTCCTTTAAGGTCACCAGCCTAGTTTGTTTTGGTTTTGGATTATAGATGGGCCATCTACCACAATAGGTCCTTAGTTGACACTACCAAGTGTCAGATAAGGAGAGGACCACAAATGGGGAACAGGAAGGTAGGGGTTAGGAAATGAAAGCCCATGGGGGGGGGGATGTCTGGAGGAGGGCTCAGACCTCGGAGTAGAGAAGGGCGATCGAGATCACTGGCAGTCCAGACAAGATTTTGATGTAAAACAGATCAAACTGGGGGCCAGTAAGATGGCTCAGTAGGTAAGGGAAATTGCCATCAGACCAAGTGAGCTGAACCTGAGGACCTGAGTTCAAACCCCTGAATCCACAGAGTGGAAGAAGAAAACCGATTGTGACTTGAAAGTTATCTTCTGACCTCCCCATGCACACCTTAGCATGCCTGTGTGCACAGACACACACACACAGAGACACACATATACACATGCACACACCACACACACACACAAACATACACACCACATACATACATACCACACACACAAACATCCACACCCCACACATACGTACCACACACACATGCGCACATATACATACACAGGTACACACCACACATAAACATACACACACACCACACACACAAACATGTACACACCACACACACAAACATATGTACACACCACACACACACATACACACACGAATGTGAAAAAAATTAAAAAGCAGAGAAGCAGGGGCTGACAGGATGGTTCCGCAGTTAAGAGTTCCGTTCCCAGTAGCCACATGATGGCCCACAACCCACCATAATTCCAGTTCCGGGGAATGAATGTGTCTCCCTCTCTGGTCTCCAAGAGTACCAGGCATGCATGTGGTACGCATTCATACATGCAAGGAAAAACACTCATACACAGAAAGTAA